GTTAGTTCCCGTTGCTTGTTCCCTCCCGTTGCTTGTTCCTTCCCTATGCCTTCCACGGCGGTCCATGTTATTTGAAAGGTACTGTTGCTTGTTGCTTTTTTTTTGTTAGTCTGTTGCTTCCGCCAGTGGGACTTTTCTGCCAGTGGGTTTGTTGCTTCCCACTGGTAGGCCCTTTCCTCCTACCAGTGAACCTGTCATCTCTCGCCAGTGGACCTTTTTATATAGCCGCCAGTTGCCGGTTGCCGGTTGCCAGTTGCCAGTTGCCAGCCGCCCATTTTCCTTCCACTGGCGGGTCCATTTATCTCACTGGTAGGAGCCATTTATCCCACTGGTCGGACATTTGCTTCCTGTTGCTTCCTGTTGCTTCTGCCGGGGAACTCGATGGTTCCATTTCTGCCGCAAAGTTGTCGGCTATGTCGTGTCCTCAAGACACCTCGTCAAAAGCCGATAAGGCTCACCAGAAGCCCAACAAGGGCGCCTAGAAAAAGGCTACACCAGCCCATAAGAGAGGCCAAAGTATGCGCCAGAGCAAAGACCAATCAGGCCTACAAGACAGGCTAATGTAAGTGTCAGGAAAAGGACCAAACTATCTCAAGACATAATCTAATTGTTTTTGTATTGTTACAATGCAGGCTCCAAGTGCGCACCAGATAAAGGGCAAACCGGCCCACAAGAAAGGCCAAAGTATGTGCCAGCAAAAAGGGCAAACCATCCCACAATAAAGGCCAAAGTATGTGCCAGAAAAAATGGCACGCCGGCCCACAAGAAAGGCCAAAGCATGTGCCAGAAGAAAAGGGCAAACCGCCCCACAAGAAAGGCCAAAGCATGTGCCAGAAGAAAAGGGCAAACCGCCCCACAAGAAAGGCCACAGTATGTGCCAGCAAAAAGGGCCAACCAGCCCACAAGAAAGACCACAGTATGTGCCAGCAAAAATGGCTAACTATCCTACAAGAGAGGCCAAAGTATGCGCCAGAGCAAACATCAATGCGGCCCACAAGAAAGGCTAATGTAAGTACCGTGAAAAAGGGTGAGCTATCTCAAGACATAGACTAATCATTTTTTGTATTACTACAACACAGGCTCCAAATGCGCACCAGAGAAAAAAAGGCTTTTCAGAGACCCTCAAGGTCACTGTCAAGATTCAAAGCCAAATCAAGATAGATAGTCAAAAAAGAAAAGAAGAAAAAGAGAAAAAAATATATAAAAAGAAAATGAAAAGATACAAAAAAAAGAAAAGAAAAAAGAAAAGAAAAACAACCAGAACAATATTGACCAGAAAAAATTGTGCTCACAATTATCTCTCTATCTCAGATCAAACCCCATAGTCACTAGTACAATCTCCAAAATAGTCAAGCCAAGGTCCATTGCTATGTCCAAGTCCAAGTCCAAATCCAATTCCAAGTCTTGTCCAAGTCCAAGTCCAAATGTCCAAAAACTGTCCAAGTACTGTTCTAGTACTAGTCCTAGCACACAAACATATACAAACAAATAGAGAAGTACACAATTAGAGAAGTAGACAAATACATACACACACAAACACACACAATTTCTATTTTTCTATTTCTTTCTTATACACACACACACACACACACACACACACACACACACACACACACACACACACAAATACACACACACAAATACACACACACATACACATAGTCATAGTCATAGTCATAGTCATACAAACATACATATACACACTTATATACATACATATATACATACAAAAGTAGAGGCGCATTTCTATCAAAGTCCAAAATCTGGGTTGTACCTCCAAGTCTCAAGGCCAAGTCGATTTCCAAGAAGGGGTCCAATGCAAAATTCCAAAAGCAAGTTCCAAAAAAAAAACCAAAAACCAAAAATCAAAAATCAAAAACCAAAAATCAAAAACCAAATCCGAACTTGAGGCATATACTAAGTCCTCCACTTCAAAAGGATCAAATCCAAAAACCGAGGCGTAGACCAAAACCTATCAGAAATGATCAGGCACATTAAGTCCTCCACTCCAAAAGGATCAAATCCAAAAACCGAGGCGTAGACCAAAGCCTATCAGAAATGATCAGGCACATTAAGTCCTCCACTCCAAAAGGATCAAAAGAAATCCGACCCTGAGGCCTATACTAAGCCCTCCTCTCTCTCTCAAAAAAAAACAAAACAAAAAAAAAACAAAAAAAAAAGCAAAAAAAAAAAGCAAAAAAAAAAGCAAAAAAAAAAGCAAAAAAAAAGCAAAAAAAAAAAAGCAAAAAAAAAGCAAAAAAAGATGAACAAACCGGAAGAACTCTGCATTGGAACCTGGACCTGGATTGAAGCAAAGCTGCGAACTGGAACAAGACTCTGGATTAAGACAAGGTATGAAATCCCTTTTTACATATACACATACAAAGCAAATGAAGTCTTTGATCAAAAACAAAAAACAAAAAAAAATGCTCAAAAAAAGAAGCTCAAAAAAAAACAGAAAGAGCAAAAAGAGCAATACCAAAACCCCCTTCTCTTATTCTTTTCAATATCGAAACCCCCTTCTCTTATTACTATTATGTGAAATTGACTGGACAAAAAAAAAGAAGTAAAAAAAAAATCAAAAAAAAAAAATCAAAATCAAAAATCAAAATCAAAATCAAAAAGTCCAAATTATCCCCTTTACTATGTGTGCTGTGTTCGGACAAAAAAAAATTAAAAAAAAAAATCAAAAAAAAAATCAAAAAGTCCAAATTATCCCCCTTTATTATGTGTGCTGTGTTTGGACAAAAAAAAAAAGCAAAAAAAAAAAAAAAAAAAAAAAAAGTCCAAATTATCTTTTTTATTCTCTTCAATATCAAAATCATCCTCTTATTACTATTCCGTGAAATTGACTGGACAAAAAAAAAAGAATCAAAAAAAGAATCAAAAAAACAAAAAAAACAAAAAGTCCAAATTATCCCCTTTATTATTTTTCAATACCAAAATCCTCCTCCTCCTCCTATCACTCTTAGCTTATATTGACTGGACAAAAAAAAAGAAGAAAAAAAAACGGACAAAAAAAAAGATCAAAAGAAAAATCAAATGGACCAAAAAAAAAACCGACTGGACTTGACTGGAACCGACTGGACTCGACTGGACTAGCATGGCCTGGAATATCTTAGTATACTTAATTTAATTTAACCTAACTTATATTCCCCTTATAAAAATTTGAACAATAAATTTTGATCTCATTTGACTTTGATATTATCATTATGTTTTGTCTCTTTGATTTTGATCTTAAATTTGTCTTTAAAAAATATTATTAATAATGTTTTTGGTACTACTATATTACACTTGAGAGCTGTCTTATTATACTTGTGTTCCTTGGTAAGGTAGACAAGGTGTATTTTCTAATGAGACATTCATTCAGTTTACTATAGCACGGCGGGATTTCTTTTGATATCGCTCATTAAAATCAACTTTGAAGTGGTGGTGTAGCTGTAAAAATGACCCAACGTAGTTAACTAGCTCTCCTTAATTTGTTCTTTACTAAAATTGTCTTTCCACCAGTATTCATTTTCTTGCCACTAAGTTTGTCTATAATAATAATATGGTTGGCTGTTGTTTTACTATTACCTTTTTCTGTTGTCTTGATTTTGTTAAAAAGAGATTCACAGTAGAAGATAACAAGGAACGTACCCGAGCTACCAGACAAAAAAAAGCTAATGCGATATCTATAAAATGATATATGGACCTAGGAATGACTAAGTAATGAAAAAGGGTAGCATAATGATCTGAAGCTTTTTTGGGGATAAAAGAATTTTAAATCTTTTGTGGTTTAATCATTAGCCTTCTTAAAGCCGCCACTATGGCTATAGAAAATACCAGTCTGTGCAGAAAATAGGCATCAATTTGGCATTCATTTTCTTTTTCGACTAGAAAATAATTTCGTTAACATTAATTCATAAAAGTTACATTAACTATTATTCTCTTTCTTTATTCTTTATATCTTTAAAAATCCTTCAACTCTCAAGTCACTCGACTTGACTCACTGCTACTTTCCCTCTATTTTTGGCGTCCTATACAAACAGTGCAGAGTCAGAAGCACTAAGAAAAAGGCAATTTTTTTGTACAAGTTTTTATTTCTGACCGGTCTTGGGTTACCCAGTAACCGTAGTCAACAAGATGTCTATTTAAATATGTGTGTTGTATTTATTTTACTATTGAACTGAAGCTAAATTAATTTGTAGAATTATTACAGGGAAAGAGGAGGGAAGATTGTAACAAGAATTATAAAGCAGACGAAAAGCCAAAGGGCCATATCTATCATGGTTGCCTTTAAGGGAATCAATAATCGCTGATGTGGCGTAGGTATTACAGTCGAATATACAACGTCAGCGAGTGCTGCCATAATGCCAGGAGGAAAAAGCCTAGTATCTCTAGTATTTTGCAAGTACTGACGTCCCAGTTTCAGATCGGGGATGTGTCAGTGTGATATATAACCACAAAACGTTTCTGACTCTAGGCTAGTTGCGGGATCTTGTATTTTTCCAGCGCTTATCACCAGAAGACCTACTTCATATGACATGAAATCCAGAAATTCCGGCCATCTTTCATATCCAAATCGCATACAGTTCAATTGGGAGAAGGGAACTTTTCACATGTGATCAAGTCGAAACCAAGCCGAGATTGAATCAATTAATAAACACCGCCAAGCTGTGTATGGGGGATCCGTAAGTCTTTGTGATCTCAGCGTTTCAGTAGCACCAAATCATATTGTTTTTTTTTGCGTCTACCACAGGTTGACCATGGATCGCCCACAATAAAACCAAAGAAGATAAATCGATATCCCCCTGGGTATTCTCTCTGTTGGCACTTAAAATGGGCTCGCATATTCGAGCTCATAACCAGCAAACCATTAGTCAATCCGGCTCGGCACGCTATTGTATATAATCGAGTACTTGCTGTGGGTGTCTCCAGGAGCAGTTGACATGCCTCTGTGTCCCATCATTATATCAGATACAATATATCTTGCCTCTGCCCTCAAAAACCAAGAAGAATCATCTGACTTTACAATTGGGTGTATAGAAAGTTGTAGAATAAACAATATAATAAGCACATTTTAATAAAGGTACGGCAGCATAATACGAGCCACAGGTATGGATCTCAAAAGTATTACAGGCTGGTGTTGGTCATGCACAGACTTGTGGCTCAATTAATGGCAGATCTGAAAAGACGAGTGTGTTAATTTTTTATTTTGGGCAGTTGAGAAAAAAGAAAGTGCCGGTTTGGTGCTATATTGGTTTCTTGAGCAGACATACTAAGAGAAAGCATTCATTACCTTTGAAAGGGGCTCATAAAAAATAAGTTGGATCATCTATACCTTTGGTCCTTTATGCAAACAGTTTTCGATAACAAGAAACTTTCTTATACATAAAGCACAACCAGATAGTACTCTTTACACTAAAACAAATGCATGGTAATTTATTTAGCCTTGTGGTGTAAATAGATTTTTTGCCTTTTTAATATACTTAACAAATTTAGTCCTTTTTGGAGTCGTTGGTATCTCCACAAATGCCCACTTGTTTCTGTTAAAATAAGTATTGACTGACCCTAATTTACATTTTACACACCTTTGATTAGTAGACTGAAAAGAAAGTTTTCCATACTTTTTCTTCAGTTGTCGTGTGAGTAAAAGTAGGTATCGAAAATGGACTTTTGGTGTAAATAGCCTCATCTACAATGTATTTTGATTTTAAATAGTGAACAATTGAGATGATTTGATCAATATTGAATCAATTAAAATCGAATAATGTAAAGCATATGGACCTTAACAAGCTTTACCAGGTCACCTATAACTATAAGCATTATTAATATGATGGTTCAAGATTTAAAGTCGATTTTCATTATACAATTTAACATTTTGTTCAAAACGATCCTTCTTTTTTAGTTGGATAAATAAATCGTGCTCGTATTATTATATCCAACAATACACAAGGTAAACTCATTTGACTCATAGAACTAAATAGTTTAATTACATAATGCTTACTCTGCGTATCTTTTATCAATTACATATTTTAAATATTTAATTCATAAACGGTTTATGAGGCCCTAAAGCTTGTAATCAAATTTGATTAAGATATAGAAGATATCTAACGTTGGGGAATGGGTAGTTAATTATGTCAATACTGAGGAAGTAGTGCCAAATAGTATGTAGCCAGTATTGAGACTCTTACATCGGTACACACTCTTGACGATAGCCGAAGCCATCTATGTCTTTTGCAACGATAATAGACAGTACTGAAGAGAGACTTTTTTTTTATTATTTTAGATGGCTGCAGCTATACTCAATGATATGCTTTAAATTTTATCCAAAAATGTAAATATCTGTTCTTCGAACACACTTGAAGACTGTTTTGTACCACTAAGAAGCTATCTGATGGTCCTCCGAAGGTACTGTCGCATTTTAGACAATTTGCTTTTAGTAAAGTATAGCAAGAGTACATTCAAGCTATACAAAACGACCAATGAATAACATATGCTGATAACAGGGTGTACAAACTTTTACTAGATAGCAGTTAATAGGTCCTTCTAGCATGATAACCTACACTTTTCTACTTTACATCCTGAAGTATTATAAAAATAAGAATTTATAAATAAGCAGTAATGCCTGCTTTTATTTCTTAACAGATATTGGGCTCATCCTGCTCTCAATTATGTATAGAGAGTAGTTCATTTACTGTATATAAATTCTGCTTATTATAGCGTCAATTCTTGTGTCTATTAATTGTCGAGTATTTTGTGCCTACCTCTTTTTACTTGTTTTTTTTTCCTTGATACTAAATCAAAAATAATGCTCTCATAGACAGGTAATATATATATATTGCACAAATGTCTCAAGGTCTTGCCAGCTTTGGCTTTTAGACAACCTTAGGAGAGCTTGGGATCAATTGATATAAAATAAGAATAATAATAAAAAGAACTATACATTATTTTCTAAAAGTACAGCTATACTAACATTTTCAAGTAGATTTCCCGTCGACTATCATTAATTGATACAAGATAAAGCAAGGTCTTTTTATCATACACTTTGATCTTGCTACCATTATAATCAAGCCTTTTTATAGTTTGTACAAGCACAGATGAATATGGATAGAAGAAGAAAAAGAGAAAAAAAGTATGAAAAATTCTAGAAGGTTATATACTACTTGATATACATACGGATTTGAGATCAACAACTGGACTTCTTTGTTAGCCAAAAAGAAAGGCATTAATAAATACAGTATCCTACCTGTTTGAAACACCTCTTAATCCTTCCAAAAATTCGAGAATGATTATAAGATCCAAGTATTCTTGTCACCAACAATTCTTTACAGCTATTAAATTGAACGAGGTTCTTTGCTTCAAATCCCAGGTAGGTTTTTATATTCATAGTATCTTTAAAACATACCCGGAATTATGTGGATATCAATAATCTGTCCAGTAACATAATCATTCTTATAATCTCCTCACAAAAATCCCGACACTTTTATATATAAATAGACGATGCAGGTAATATTTTTTTCTGGTTCTTTGGCCATCATACTGCTTCTAGGTATTTTTTTGTTCATCTTAATATACCTACTTTTTAGCAGTATTGTGCTACCAGTTTTCTGTTATGGCGGACCAAGTTACGGCTGTTGACTTTCCGGACGAGATATTCAGGTTGATTTGCGATAAACTGTCTCAGCAAGATATCTACCAATGTACTCTTGTGTGCAAGAGCTGGAATCCTCATTTCCAGTCCGAACTGTGGAAAACTATTTTACTCTTTGGAAAAAGCGATCTTTACCGTATTTTCGGTAAAAACGACCCTATTTCACATGGCTTGGCCAACAACGGACAATTTATCAGGAGAATGGAAATTGATGCAAACACCGGTGTAACCAGATTTGACATGCGGGATTTTCAACTATTTGCGAAAAACGTGGAAAAACTTACTGCTCCAGGGTATGGGTATCCTCTTCGAAGCCTCAGACGTGCGATCAATTGGAGATGTTGGAAGACACTGCTATACCTGAAAGTCACATGCCCAGGTTATGATTCGACAACAGATATCAATGTAGCCAGTTTGACAGAACGATATACTAAATATCAGGAAACGCTAAACAGTTTCCGCTGGGCTATACCATCAACAGCTGGGTGGCAGTTATCTTACATGGAGTCTCTTCATACAAATTTGCCACAATTGATACGCCTATCTCTCGATGTACCGCTCACATTCTCACAATATGACCCCGACCTGTTCAAGCCGCTTGTCCCAGCTTCCAGTATCAAAATCCTTCACATTTTTACACGTACGGACTTTTCTCTTTGGTTACACTACATCTCAAGAAAGTATCCGAATCTCCAAGAGCTGATCCTTGAAAGAACTACAAGTCTAGTAGCATACGTAGACTCTATCGAGAGATATTTCCATTATTTTGGAAATCCCCCCAACTTACAACATCTGAGAAAGCTCAAACTTGTGTACGAAGTCAATTCTGTTTATGACTCTAGATTAATCGGCAGTACCTTGTTAGACAATCCTAACATAAAAGAACTGAGTTTAACATTGAGCTATTGCATGATATTTAACGTAAATCGCGTTCATCTCTTGAAAGAAAATATTGGTTTGATATCCAAAGGTATCACAGAGTTATTTGTTTCTTGCAACCTCATCTTTCCGGTCCCAGATAACGATGTGCTTCAATTCAGCGCCTTTTCTTATCTGGTCGTCCTACACATCGATGTGGCTTACACCTGTATCTTTATTGATGAACTGATGAATGGGTGCGTACATCTAGAAAAGCTGAGATTGTGTGCGACTGAATTGGCTAAGGATAAACCACCCAAGATAACTCCACCAAAGCACAAGCTCTGCCATATAGAATTGGAGAGAAACACCTTGCACTGCGATATATTGTCCTATATTTCTAGCCGCTGCTACTGTTTGTGCACCTTTTATTTGATTGATAGCCTAGTCGTAGGTCCGGTCGATCGAAGAACTGGGTTTATGTATATTGCGATGTGGGAAACAACATTCAATATCTTTTTTGTGCTTCGAGTGCGCTTTAGGGCGGTTGACACGAATTGGAAGCCAAGCAGCGCAGTCAATCTTTTTTGTATTTATCAGAGCGACAAGAACGAATCAGATGACCCACGCTCCTCTTCCGCAGTTTCGTCGCCCTCGTCCTCTTCCTCGCAATGGTATTCTTTCTCGCCCTGGTCTTCCTCGTCTTCCTCTTCCTCGCATTGTGATCCAGAAAACAAAGAAGTCCAAGAAAAGAAGAAAATAGAGAATGTTGCTGTACTAAGTGACTGGTTCCATATTTACAGGTTGGGTTTTGGACCTACCGCTGGTTTTGACTATCAAAATCTTGAGGGTGATGATCGTCAAAAGGCAATAGACTACTTTAAAGGATTCGAATCCAAAGATGTAGAACATGATGGTCGTAGAAATAATCTACCGCACAATAGTATTGATCTTGCCCCCAGTGAATATTGGCAATTGGATTTGCCATGTGGAAGTGCCGTGTTTTTATGTAAGGGCATAAACAGCCAAACAGTTGTTGGTGGTACGTTTTCACGTTAAAAGAAAAATTAATTAATACATCAATAAAACAAAATTGGTGGCATTGTGGCCAAATCCTACTTTTTCCCCTCCTCTATTTTTACACACACACACATATATATATATATATTACATATGCCTTTAATCAAATTCAATTCAATCCAATTCGAACCATTTTATAGTGTTGTAATAGTTTGATATACTACTCCAAAACCAAAAGGTTTAATTGTCACACTCTGTAATCTCTATATAGAAATCAAAAGAAATATATTTCAAATAGACATAATATTTTCATGTTTATGGTACTTTTTTTTGATAATTTTTAGATCCTACAGAGGTTCTATAAAAGTACATAAGATTAATAATAGTTTTCTCTGCACATCGAGCAAAGTCATATACGTGATCCAAGGAAATTCGTTTCTTTTCTTTTTTTAAAAAAAATCCTATTATCCAGAAAAAACAACACCATAGCCACACAGAGTCAATGATGCCGTACGACTCAAAATTGCCGTTTAAATGTGTTTAGTTTAGCCTCCTTTGACTACAAATTAAACCCAAATCTACCAGAAAAAAACTTGATAATTTGTTTTCATTCAATCGTTCTTCTTTACCATGACTCCTCCCACTACCTCTATAGACTGGGACAACCTTGGCTTTGAATATCGTGATCTCAACGACTATGCAAAGTTTATCTGGACTGAAGAAAAAGGCTGGAGTAAGCCTACCTTTGAAAAAGAACCTTATGTAAAGGTTCACATTTGTGCCACTGGATTAAACTATGGACAGCAGGTAAAAATAAAAATAAAGTAAAATCAATCTCTCATTCGTAAACAATATTTGTTTAATTTATTTATTTATCATGGCTACAGTGTTTTGAAGGATTAAAAGCTTTCCGTGATCCTCAAGGTCTCGTACGTGTCTTTAGACCTGAGGTTAATGCTGCCCGTATGATCCGTAGTGCAGATATGGTTTATGCACCTGCGGTTCCTATCGAGCTCTTTGAAGAAAGTATTCGTTTGACTGTAACAAAGAACCTCGAATTCGTTCCACCCGGAAGCTCTGGAGGTTCTCTTTATTTGCGCCCCCTTTTGTTCGGCAGTGGACCTTTTATTGGTATGGGCCCAGCCAAGGAATTTACTTTTATTGTATTTGGCATGCCGGTTGGAAACTACTACAAGGGCAACGCTGTACCCGTTGACTGTTGGGTTATCGAAGACTTTGACAGAAGTGAGTTATGCACCACTAGAATATATAAACACAAACGAGTACTTTATTATAATCAATCAATGAGTAAATTAAAGCAAGGCAAAGCAAAATATCTATCTATCTATTATACTTATGCCTTATCATACCTCTTTTCTCTTGTTTGGATTTAGCCGCTCCTTTTGGCACTGGGGCTTGTAAGATTGGTGGGAACTATGCGCCTACCTTCAAGCCAATGAAGGCCGCCAAGGACAATGGATTTCCCATCATCCTTCACTTGGATCCCAAGTCTCACACCATGATTGACGAATTCTCGACTTCCAACTTTATTGCCCTCACTTATCCTGACCCTAGAACCGGTAAGCAAACTTTGGTTACACCGGACTCCAGCACCGTTCTGCGTTCAGTTACTCGTCTGTCATTATGCGATCTTGCCAAGAAACTCGGCTATGATGTTGAAGAGCGCCCGATATTGTTTAGTGAGCTTGAGCAAAACAAGTTTGTCGAAGTGGCTGCCTGTGGTACGTCTGCTGTCGTTACACCAATCAAGAAGATCGTTCGTGGTGACAGGGTAATCAACATTGGTTCTGGTAGCCAGACTGAGATTGGAAAGGGATTTCTCAAGCTCTTCAATGAATACCGTGGCATTCAGAAGGGTGAGATTAAGGATACGTTTGGTTGGATGTGGCCTGCAGAGGGTTTTTAAATATATATATATCTATATGCTTTTACGCTTAACAAAGAAAAACAGTTGAATTTTGTACAATGGTATCTTGAATGGTTCTTGCTAGAAAAATACACAGATCAAATTTATAAACCATAGATTTATTTGTCTTTTCTCTTTCTATAAAAATCGTTCAGATTGTGAGAACTGATTTTTCTTTAAAGCAACATGTCATTATAATAATGATAAACTAAATACACGCCGTATCATCATTAACCAATAATAACAGAAACCAATCTAAAAGAGCAATTATATCCAAGCAGATAGAACAATGAATATCAACAGGCTAGCCACTCACATTTTGATAAGCTGCGACCATTATACCCAGCAATGTAACATTATTTTTCAGATATATAACAAAGATACTTGGCATAAGATAGTCATTATGAGGGTAAAATGTGTGTAATTTATTGAATATATATATATACTGCTTTAATACATTTGTTTCCTTTTCACATTTGATTCTTTGCATTGATCAAGTAGTGCATATCTGTAAGCCAAGCTCTTCTCTCTCTCTCTCTCTATAATGTACATATAAAAATATAAAACAAAATAAATCATATGGGTGTCTAACTTATTAAATAGCCAACATAATTAGATGAAATTGATCAAGGCAGTAGTCAAAATTTTGACTCTTTTTTTTAAAAAAGCAAAACGATACATATATGTATGTATATATTTTATTATATTTTATTTTATATATTTATATATCAATAGTCGTGACTATTCACTCACACCTCCCTTTCTTTAGTCATTTGTACATAAGCTCTTCTTCATGGCAGCAATGGAATCAAAAAACGTAAAAAGAACTCATTTAACATTTATATCTTTACTTATTTCTTAAAGGCTATTTTATCCTCGCAGTTTACTTACACTCCCACAAATATTCTGTTCTCCTCTTTTTTTTTTACTGACATGTTAATACTATTAGTTAAAGTATCGCTTCCAAAGTGAAATTCAGCAAATGATGTTTGTGTTTGGAGAGGTGGCAGGTCCATTACCCGAAACCACATTATTGGTAGAAGACATTGTTCGATCCCAAGTGATTGAAATCGTAAGTCAAAACCCAAGTCTATACCAAAGCCTAAGCCTAAGCCTAAGCCCAAGACCTTTTTATTTATTTATTTTAATTAATTTCACACACACTCTCTATCTCTCGTATCAAAGCTTCCTTTACTTTTTCTTCTTCTTTTTATTATAGTTATTGTTAACACATCTTTATTGATTGTCTATTTTTTTACAGCTAGTTCAGGCCGCTGCTCAGGCAACACGTCGAAACTCACGATATCTAAGTGCAGAAGATCTTATATTTCTTATGCGTCATGACAGAGCCAAAGTAAATCGTTTACGATCTTTCTTGAGTTGGAAAGATGTCCGCAAGAATGCAAAGGATGCATCTGGGGATCAAGTAGATGAGATGGTTGAAGAAGCAACATCAGGTTAGTCTCACAAGACATGTATTTAAGGAGTATAGACGATACTCTACCCATATACATAATACATATTTAATTGTAATACAATAAACTTATTTATTGATCCATCCATTTGTTATAGGGAAACTATATCGTAGTATTATCAAACTCCCATGGGAGCTAGTAAACCAATTCTTGGACGTTCTGGTCAAACCAAGTAACCCTGAAGAAGAGTCGGACGACGAAGACGATCTAGAAGCATACATGGACTCGGTCCAGCGCCTGAGAGACGCAGACGAAATCACACGAGCCATGACACGAGAGGAATACGTCCACTATTCAGAATGTCGCCAGGCTTCATTTACATACCGCAAAGGAAAGCGGTTCAGAGAGTGGTCAAACATGAGTTCCTATGTCGATGTGCGGCCTAACGACGACATTGTGGACAGTCTTGGATTCCTGACATATGAAATGGTCTCCAAACTGACAAGAACAGCTATCCAGATAAAGAATGATTTGTGTAGAGCAGGAAATAGTAACAGTAGCATTAGCAATAGCAGTAACAGTAACAGTAGCAGTAATAATAGTAATAGTAATAATGGGGTAAAAAAGGATGAGCCAACAGCAGGTTCAAAAAGAAAACGGGATTTGGATGATGAAGGTACCCCTGAATCCGAGAAGAAAGATAACGAAAACACAGAAAATGTTTCTAGTACTAGTAATGATGCGAATACGAACACGACTGCAAATGGAAACGGAAATGGAAATACGAGTGTGAGTAGTAGTGGTAGTGCTTGTGCTAGTTCTGGCACTAGTACTGGAATTGGAGCTGCAACTGGCACAAACACTGGTTCTGGCTCTGGTTCTGGCTCTGGCAGCTCTAATGGTTCTGGTATTGGTGCTGGTGCAAGTAATAGCTCTGGTACTGGTACTGGCAATGGAGTAACTTGCCGTGAACATGAGTCGGAAGATTCTTCGCCTTCGTCAACCGCAAATGATAATGAAGGCATCGGGTTGTTCTTACAACCTAGCTCAGAGCCAACTCCATTACAACCCGAACACATTCATGAAGCTTTCCGACGTATGCAGCAAACGATCCAGCCAATGAGGAACTTTAGAGGTGGGCTGGCAAGAACCCGACTTTCTCTTATTTAAAACAATCCAAATAACTAAATAAACATTTGTATAAAGTAATACATGTATCCATATTATAAACACACCAATTGAATCCAATTTTGATAAACTTGCACTTTTCGTTCTTTTTCATTTATTTATTTTAATGGCTATAATTTACATTACAAGGAGTAAAATCACAAACACACAAATACATACATTTAAGACAGTTGTCTAACTCTTCTTATTCTTTTATGTTATGTATGTATGCTTATATGATTAACTGGTTGTTTATAATGTACTTAATATTTCATGGCTCAATAATAATAATACTAATACTAATAATGGCAATGGAAAGGGCAATTAAAAGATTTTCAATTAAATATTTCATCTTTAACGATACCAAAAACTGGATCAAGGTTACAAAGCATTGCTTTTAGCTTTTATTTATTTATTTTTCTTGATAAATTATGATCATCTAGTTTATCAATTTATATACAATGGTCAATGTTGTGATAAAGTAGTAAAAAGATCATTTTGAACATCTAAATTGTACATTTACAATTATATATACATTTGTACTTTTTTATTTTCTTCTTCTTCTTTCTACACTATGATCGATATGGCAAAGTACAAAAAAAATTATAGATACATATAATTGTATAATCGATTTGGAATTGATATTGGCCAATAAAAAATGATTTTTTTTTATAAAATATATGTATATATGTGTCTATTGGTATGCGGGTATTTTATATCTTGTATACATTTATGTAAATATGTGAATATGTATACATGTAAATAATGCCTTGTTTTCTTAAGATACTTTAGATATTTCATTCTTTTCTTTAAAAATAAAATAAAAATAAAGAAAGAGTTTTTAAATAGTAGTAGTAGTAGTAGTAGTAGTATTAAGGATGTTGTTTTGACCATATGTTTCTCTGAGATTGACCATGTGAAAGATGGCAGTATAGTTGAACCAGATTCCTCCCATGACAAACAAGTGCCACAGTTGATGTGAGTGGCCAAAGTGATCGAATTTACCAGGCCAGATTCGTTCGGGCAGCTGATTACTGTACACAATAACTCCAATGATGTAAGACGAAATCGACTTTGAGAAAGGTGAAAGGAAGTTAGCGGTTTCCTGTAGACCGTTGGCAATGCAAAGGTGGATGATTGGTACAACCGCAGAACTAGCCATGACAACAAAAAACATAGTCCGTAACCAACGACGCTCTAAACCAGCCAAAAAAACAAAAACAAAAAAATTAATATACATATATTAAGTATATACTTTTATTTTATGCGCAAATCTATCTATAGTTTCTATAATATAAAAATTATTATTATTATTATTATTATTATTTCCTTACCACTGTGATCGAACCAACTCATAAAAGGCATGGCTACACCAAGAATTGCCATGGATCCAGTAGCAGTAATATAAGTGTTTCTCCAGATGTCGTGGTTGTAGAATCCGTAATACTCGCACAAGATTATGCTGGCACAAATCAAGACCGATATGCCAACATAATCAAGACAGGCTACTTTGCGGTATGTCTGTAGATCGCTGATTCCGGACAGAGTGTGCCAGACTGTGGAACAGAGCAGGCACTTGCAGGCTGCGACAAAGAAGACACCAAAGAACACTTTGTCCGAGAGAGGAATGTCGGAAAGGACGGGTGAGTAGAGCAAGTGGTATGTTCCGACCATGGCCAAGAAGACGAGGCCAAATAGATGGGTGTAGATATTTCCGGTTTCGTTGTGGACGTACAAAAGTGAGTGCCAGCATTCTGCAGTTGAATTAAGGAAACGATAACCAGTCAAGATATGCTATATATATATATATATATATATATTGTTTGTATTAGTAAAAGATACAAAAGGATTGAAACAAGATTATTACTATTACTATTATCTGTTTAAGAAATATACACACAAAGCTATTAAAACAAACTATATAATTACCTCGTTGTTGCGCCATTGAATAGGTAGCTCTTCATAGTGCAAGAGCCGTTTGGCACCATTAGCGACCGCACCTTTGATTTGATCCATGTGGTCGCTTGCCAGGTCAGCCATCTTGTGAAGTTTCTCATTGACTCGGTCACGCACCTGGGAGGCCCGCAAGAAACAGTCTGCGATCTGACCATCGAATTCCTCGAGTTTGAGCATCACGGCCTCGATTGTGTTGTCGAGCGTTTCATCCGAGACGAGGATCAGGGCTGACGAGGTTTCGAGTTCTCTGTAGCACTCTGACAGGTCGACCAGGGCCTGCTCGAGCACCTGGGCAAATGTATCGATGGATATAATCGGATGCTGGTTTTGGTTGGAATAGTCTTTGGTATACAGCAAGAGAGCCTTGGCCTGCCACTCTTGCTCCAGGCGCTCCAGGGTGTGGTATGTGTTCTGGATCTTCTGGACAGAGTATTGCTGGAACCGTTTGGAGTCACTGTTCACAGTCTGTTCGAAAAGGACGAGCCGAGACTTGAACTTGACCAGGAGTGGAGTGACTCGTTGTTTTAAGAAGAGGGTCATGTCCAGAGGTTGGTCTGTGTGGAGCGTGGTGTTGCTCTGGATTGCCAACATGTCTTGCATGATTAGTTTAGGATTGTGAGATTTGTTTCGATTTGCTTGTTATAGTTTCAATGAGTAGAAATGAACTAATGAATGTAATGAATTTTCTTTGAAAAATACATATATATGAAAATTCAAAGAAGAAAAGAGAAATGTAAAGGAGAAAGAAGTAATTTAATTATATTAAGAGATTTAGACATAGATTATACAATAATAAAAATAAAAGTAATAATAAAATAGAGTTAACTATAATAGTATATTTGACAAAACTTGTGGTCTGTGTTTCTTTTTTTGGGGGGGGGAGGTAGAAGAAGGATTATTGGAGGAAGTGCAGACTATCCACAAATGGACATTAGTTCAACCCGCTTTGAAAGACGACAGGGGTGTAAATATACGCACACACATTACATCCAAGGTAAATACAATACTACATATAATAGGTGACTAGGCAGACAAAATTAATGAATAGATAGATAGATGAATAAATGAAAAGGATTTAAATTGGTATTGTGCACATGCCCCACCCAACATATGGTGCTGTCTGTCATTCATTCACAATCGACACATGAAGTATTTTTATTTTATATATCAGTCTATCAAACATATTTCGTTTCAATTCAATTGACCTTTTTGTTTGTTTGTTTCAATTTGTGCTTATAATCTATAGTGTACAATACATGAAACAATTAAATATAAATCTATATTTCTTTACACAATTCCCACCCTTCAAAGCCCTTTATTTTGTTTTTTTTTTTTGTTTTTTGTTTGTCCTTAGCAAACCAACATAAATTAAAATAAAGTAAAATCTCGCATCTTCTCAGCCATTCTATGCTATTCATTTTATTTTTTAGTGTTTATTCTTGTATTACTCTGTTCTTGTATTCAACCATGTCTTTTTCTATTTGGTGCGCTGTGAAACAATTGAAACAATTGAAACAATTGAAACATATAGATATATTTCAATTTTTGATTATAAAATAATTATCGAGAAATTCAATAAAGCTATAAAATCACAATTATATATTTTCTGTTACATCTTTCAAGAGTATCTTGGCTCTGTCCATACATGAAATCAATACAAGATATCTTATTTTCATCAATTTCAAACAGGGTCAGGTCATAATTTATTTTATTTTATTTTTTATTTATTTTTTAAACGTGAAAGTCAATGTTTTATGCGTACAACCCCATCTCCGATACAAAAATAAAATGTATGGGTAACTTGAACTTTAGATTTTTTTTTCTTGTTATAATATCCGAGCTCTTTCTTCTTTCTTTCTTCTTCCTTTCTCTCTTCTTTGTTTATTATACTTCTTTAAGATATAAACTCATAAAACACTTGATTTTTCTTAAGATAAAATAAAATAAAAGTCACCAAAATATATTGTTCTTTTAAATTATAATAATGGTTACCAGTATCACTCATCTTAAACCAAACAACCTCAGCCTGGCTCACAGTAAGCTGCGTTTGATTGCCGTCAGCCCAACCGTGTCAGTCCAGACTGCCCTTGATTTGATGTACAAGAACAAGATCACGTCTTTGCCAATCTTTTCCCACAACAATACCACAATCGTCAGTATCGTCAATCTGTTTGACATCTTGATATATCTGGTCGCTGACTCCCGGTCAGTTGTCCAAAAAGACCAACGCAAATTGAACGAACCGATTGAGAATGTTCTCGGTCTGGACTCCGACCGTGAGAGTTACCGTGTCTACCAGTGCGACTGTCAAGACGAGTTACTCGAAGCAAGTATCTATTTACATGTAGTCATTACAAAGAGAGACTAGTAATATCATATATTTATATATATAGCATATTAGAAATCCCACTATAACCAAACCACCCAAAGAACAAACAATTAATATTTTCTTTAAAATAACATTCGCCTAGACTCTTAAACTATTTGCCTCGGGAATCCACCGTGTTCTGGTCGTAGACTACAGTGACAAGAATGACAATCCATGGTTACTCTCCCAAACCGACGTCATTCGCCACATTAGTGGTCACCTGGATTGCATCGCCGATCTGGTCTCGGTAGACAGCACGGTCGAGTCGCTTGGGTTCCTGAAGAACAAACCAATGGTCACCGTACCTCTTACCCAGTCTGCCCTGGACGTCTACCGTCTCATGGCCAAGAAAGATCTCGGTGGTCTACCAATTGTCGACAGGTAACAGTTTATTCTATTTTATTTCATCAATAATAATCATAATTATAATTATACACAATAAAGATGCTAGATTATCATATTAATATATTTATATATTCTTTTGTGTATTTGTTGCAGTGAGGGAAGACTTCAGGGAGACCTGTGCTTGGAAGATTTACCCGGAGCAAACCTAGAGATGATTGAACAGCTTGTATTGCCCTGTGGAGATTATGTAAAGGTAAAAGAAAAGAGAGAATGAGATACACACATTACAAGTATACATGTTGTATATTTGTTCTTATTTTTTGTGTTGAGGATGGTTGAGTAGAAGATGGCAGGTCATCAAGTAATCACACCCACCGCCACACCCGATACTTCACTCAAAGACATCCTGGCTACCATGGCCAAGGAGGATACTCACAGAGTGTGGATTGTGGACAGCAAGAAAACCCTCAAATTGATAGGTGTAGTCACCATGTCCGACATCATCAATCTCCTGTGCAAGAAGCACCATTAAATATATATATATATATATATATATACACAATAATGGCAGTAACGATGTTAATCAAATGGTACATTTTCCATTGACACAAGTTCATTTACCTATCAGAGACCCCATAGTCAAGTCAAATCAAATCAAATCAAATCAAATTAAAAGAGAAAGTGTACATTCATCCAAAACCAAAGAAATAAAGGCTACAGAAAAAAAAACGAAAATGACAATAGTAATAATGATAATGACAGCAATAAAACATTCTACATCATACAAATACAAAGAAACTATAATATTATTTATCATTATTTAAAGAAGTATATGTCTGTGCTTGTGTGTGGGCGTGTGAGAGGATGTGAGGATGTGTTTACAGAATAAAAGAGGTAAGAGATTGGTTGATTATTTGGATTTATATATATATATATATATTGTTTTGTTTTCTAAAGACCCTGGTGCTTGTGCATGACAGCACAGGCAACAGATCCAAGAGTCTGTCTAATATATTCACGCTCCACATCATGACCTACACAAAGAAAATAGAATCAATATACCACAAGTCATAGATATACAGACAAAATAAATAAAAAACTTACTGTCTTCAACTTCACCCCAACGTTCCATCTGAGCATTCATCTCCACATGGGCAGCCTGGGCAGCCTGCTCGACTGTCAAAGCATTCTTGATCAGAGCAAATCCAATCAAGAAACTCTTGGAGCTCATGACACCCTTTTCAAATGCGGACAGCTCCAGGTTGTCCATGGCCTCGATCTCCTTGCGCAACACATCCTTGGTTTCCTGGGGCTGCGTGACCGCAAAGATCTCGGTGGTCGAGTTGATCCCGACACCATACTTTTCCTTGATCCATGCGTGGATAGGAGACCAGTGCTGTTCCTGCAGGCGGACCAAGAGCTCGGGTCCTTCTTCACGGTAGCATGTCGCATCAGTATCAAAGTAGACCATCAACTTGTCAATAACCTGAGCACGAAGTGTAGGGTCAGTGGCGTGCGAGGGATCAAACGCATCAATGGCACGAGCAATAATCGAAGTCTATTACAAAAACAACCAAGTAAATACATATACAGTTGAACAATTAATTCATTCATTGATTAGTAAAGAACAAAAGAAAAAAATATATTATATATATATATATTCTGTAGTGTGCATTACAAGGCTAATTGGTTGTCGTTATCTCTCTTCTTTGGTTTATTTCATTTATTTCTTACCAAAGGCAAAGTGTGTGCCTTGAGATTCTCGGTCTGGGCATCCCATTCAGCAGCTGTCAAAAGTGCCAAGTTGCGCTGGGCAATAGGGAAACGCATCACGTTGTTGCTGGGTGTACGCAAGTTACGGTGATCGAGAATTACAGTACATTCATCTAATGGCTTGACATTAATTAATATATATTTATTTATTTAACTAGACGAGAAAGAAAGTCAAAAGACATTTGCATAGCGTTATCTTACCGCCTTCAGTCTTGACGCCAGCACGCTTCCAGAATCGCTTCATTGTGCGTTCGGCACCTACAATTACATTAAACCAATCAGTTTAATTATTCGTTTTCAACAATAGGACGAAAGGAGAGGATTTTTGTTGTTGTTGTTGTATAATTTAAAGTAATGTAGTGTAATGTACTGTAATGTAATTGTGTTGGTTTGTTGGTTGAAAAACTTGAATTGAATTGAATTGAATTGAATTGAATTGAATTAAATTAAGGGTGTTGAATTGTTTAGGTTATATGTACGTTTGAGGGCAGCTTCAACTTTGGCATCGTCTTGTTGCTCTTGGGTTTCGGTCTCGGAAACAGCTTGGTTGCGAAGAGTTGATCCCAAAGTGAAGGATCTGGTCTCTGCTCTGACAGCTCTAAACAGAGTAGGTCTCAGAAACAAGCGTGTGGAGAGGGAAGCCATTTCTTTATTTAGTAAAAATAAAATAAAAAAGACAAAAAGACAAGAACCGTTTTTGACTCTCTTCTTTTATATAATATAGTCGGTTCCTTTTTTTTTTTTTTTTTTAGTTTTCACCCCTCATTTTTTTTCTGGCCCTGTTTATTAACCTAGTGACTGCTTCATAGTTAAAGCAGAAGCTTTCTTTCTTTTTATTTCTTTTTTAATAATTATTATTTTGCTACTTTTCATTTATTTCATTCATTTGAAAACCCCAGTTATTCGGGTGAAAGTTCAAAATCCAAAGTTTGTAAAGTACAGATAGAGTGGTATACAGTTATATATAAATTTAGGGTGTTCAATGGATTTCTACATGGGTATTTGTTAAGCTATAGATACACTTAAAATAAAGAGTATTTGATAAGCAGTAGATTGCTGACGGTGTATCAAAAAATAATAATACTACACTTCCTTTTATTCTTTTATTCCTTTTATATGAAAATATAGTACCTTGTTTTTGTTAAAAGAAGTACAAGTAAGAATGTACTACAAGAGCAATTGAAACAACCAAAGCAAAGAACTCGAGAAATCTTGTGCAAAAAATAAAAGAGGCAAATTCCGGTGTTGCAAAAGTCAAAATCCAGCGGAGTTGTAATTTTCTATTTTATTTTCATAAAAAAATAAAGTACTTTTTTCTTCTTTTTCTTCTTTTTCTTCTTTCCCTTTCTCTTTTTTATATATACATTTCATTTCTTATAAAATATAAAGCATTTCTATTTAGGCCTGTACCAAATCATCCTCCTCTCTTATAGATCACTCTACTGCTTCCAACAGAATTGTACCTTTTTAAAGCATACAGAATTGATACATTGATCAAGTGAGCGACTATATGAATTGACCTTACGTATATATATATATATGTATGTATGTATGTATGTAAATACGCCATTTCTGCGTGTTTGTACCTATAAAAATATTAATCAAAAAAAAAATTCTTGTTCAAATCCACTATCTATTTCAAATAGATAGCTATTTTCCTAATAATATTAATATTAATATTAATATTAATATTGTTTGATCAATGGCTTCTGCTTCAGACAGAACAAGATCAAAGAATATGCTGCACTCAACAAATACAAAACACAAACCCAAGAAGCGAGCCAGAAAGAGAGCAATAGATGAAATCACCATCCAAGAATCGTAAGTGACCAAAAGATACATACCAAGGTTCTATTATCTTTAATAGTCACGGCAATAACAATGAATGATATTCATAACCATGCTCTCTCTCTTTAAAAAAAAAAGACAAGATATGGTCACTACTTGGCAAAGGGCAGTTGAGGATGTAAATGAATATCCTGATGCGGATTATGATCGGATGGTAGACCAACTCAACAAGATCAAAGCCGAACGACTCGTGAGAGCAAAACTCTTGAGAGATACCCAACGAAAACTGGTCGTCAATTGGTTTGCTGCACAGACCGAACAAGCCAAGAATGATTTCCAGGTACGCATCTTATTTTATATACAATCGATGTCTTGACAACATTATTGTACCATTTGATTAATCGTTTTCTATATAAATATATATCTTTTTTTTAAAAAAAAATAAAAAAATTAGTATGCTCGATATAAGGCTCGAAATGAATTTATACATTTGATTCAAAAACAAATCTCCAGTTTGAACACCGAGCTGAACGAATTGCAATCCAAATCGAATTCATCTCAAGATACCTAATATTTGCAACATCAATATCAACCATCATCAACCTACCCAATTTCATATACACATTTAAACATTCAAATATATATATATATATATATTTTATGCAAGTCTGGGCATGGTGAATCTATAGGTCGAAGCCAAATTGGTATTGCCAAACCTTGGGTAATACCATCAAACTAAATAGCAATTCAGACGGTGTACGAGGTGGCTGGCGGCCGCCTCTCCTAGGGGTCTCAAATTGGAGAAGAAAGGAAAACAAAGTATAGACGTGAGAAGCGAGACGAAGAGCCAGCGGTAGCGATATAAAAAGAAAGGAGTTTAGCACACAACAAATAAAGTATTTCTTTTTTACCTCGTTAAAGAAAAAACACTTTTTTTTGCCTATTTTATTATTTTGACGACTGATTCTCATCCTAGCTATTGGAGTGCACATCTATCTATTGTGTCGAAAACGAATCCTTTAGAAGTAGTTTATTGTCTCTTGCTACCAAGCCTCCATTAATAATTATAGCCTGTGTTATCTAGTAACCCGTGAATAGAGACTATACGGCTCCAACGTCCCTCCTCACAATAATATCGTAATTAGTTATATTACCTCTTACAAGTATCCCATGTAACACAATACACAATATTTTGTAAGCGAGATGTTGCTGGTGAGTCTCGAACTCCTTCCGATGTGCTATCACTCATCATACCCATAAAATAAATACTATAAATTAATTCAATTCCTTGAGCATGCCGAGAATTTGGCTTGAAATTATATTCTTCAGATGTATTACCTGTGAGCTACCAGTTGGCGTGTTATTTGATCCTTTCAATATTCATTTCTCCTTGCACTCCTGTTGTACTAGCTGCAGCTCTTGTTGGATTTGAGTTAAACGCTTAAGTAACAAGTATATTTTTGTACAGATTATTTTCACAGTGCTCGCAACTGTCGTGGGTTTTGTAGAGAATGATACTTTGTCCGAGTCCAGGGAATTAAGAAAAAAGAACGGTATGATCATCTGGAGGAAGAAAGCAAATTTCGTGTGTCATATTCGCAAAGGAATTTAGTGTGAGTGTCAGACATACGTTGTTGTTTTGTGCCAACCCGATTTTGGATTACTTCCATTGTGCTTACTTTGGATCCCGGGTGAAAACTGCTCTACCTTCCACTATATAGCTAGGGTAAGTCCAGTGTATGTATTTAAGCTGCAAGTGGCCAATGTCTGACCAAAGGTGCCACATTGTTGCCAGACAAATCAACATCACCGTATTTTGTTAAAGTTACGTTAAACGTGGCTCTTGCATTGGTCCTCAGGTCTTGAAAAGGTCAAAAGGCGGATTGCAAGGAACATATATCATCCTAATTTTTTTGTTAAAATCTTTATCTCTGATATTGTTTTTACAAGGAAGGTTGCAATGGGTTCCCGTCGAGCTAGACTTGTTCTACCTGACCAAAAGATTCGGAAAACCAAAGGAATAAAGTATCCCATAAAGTCGAGATATGGACTAGATAAAGTATGATTATTGACCAACTAGTTTACCACGGCATTGACATCGTGTTTACATATGTATACACACAGAGTTTGTTGTTTACACAATCTTATCCAGCAGCACCACTCACAATCATACCTTTTCTTGGTATAATTTCTCTTTGACCTTTTTATTTTAGAAAGGATGATGGTTGCCCCGAAAAAAACCATTTCTTTCTCTGGCACTGCGGATAATATATATACAGCCAAGGTAAGATACCTGCTGGAGTACCATTGGCTATCAGTTTTGGGTTATTTAACTCGGTATCACGAGGATCACTAGTCGTACTTTGCCCTTGTAGACCTTCTGTACTACTTGTGGAATTAATTTCCACAATTGATGGAGATATAGCATTATGAAAAAAAAAGAAGAGCCCTTGTGGGAGACAGCCCAGGTGGAGCTTTTGACTTGCCTACTTTCTAATCTCCTGCTTATTATGGATTATTACATAGCACCACTCTTTTTAACGGATATGAAGTTGTAGTCATTTACTAAGAAACTTTTGTGTAGCTTATAATTGCCTTTTTATTGGTACTTATATATGCGAGCTTTGGCTTAGCACTACGGGAAAAAAAAGACGGTAAGACTAATGGTTTGACCGGTGATTTTTTGCAAGTTCTCCATTCAAACCACCATTGAGTTTAAACAAAAATAAATGAACTTCTGCTCTCTGCTCTTTAATATCTTATTTGTATAACAAAGCAATATTCCTTTCTTAGTATTGGCTTTTCTATTAGACGTGGTTTCTTTTATCTTTTGTATAAAGCTTATATGTCATTGAGTACTTTTATTTGGTACCCTCTTATATGAACACAATTGTTTTAAAGTGTAGATTAAATAAACATTTTATTGGACACAATTTATTTTTATTATTATTGCTCTTAAGAGAATAGATGTCTATTGGATTATATTTATAACAATTATTATTTAATTTAATAATTAGATGTTTTTATTGTTCATTTTATTGGTTATTAATTAATAGTAAAAGATTAATAGTTGCATTTTATTGGCCATAAACTACATTATATTCTAAGTTTTTATAGCATGATATCTCATTCGATTCTATTACATTCGATTACTTACGAGACTGTAATATTCTATAACGGTCTCTCCTGAGATGAGAGACTCTCGAGGCGGAGGCCCGGTTTTCGTGGCATTTGGTGAGGTCGATACCAGCATCATTCATCAACGTTACGTGTTTAGCACACATTTGTTTTCTAACCATTGCTGGTATAGACCCCCAGCTAGAATGAGAACCAAGATCCTTCACCAAAGGATGAACAGCCAGCTCATCACAAATGATCTTTGTATATACGTGGAGTGGCCTTTTCTTCATTGGTTACCTCAATACCAAGATCTTCACTCATCATTTTTGAAGACGTGCTTCAAAGTTATATCCCGGGTATTTAGAACAGGTGTACGGATAAGGCTGCTATAAGGCTATTGGATTACATGCTAATACATATTCATTTTATTCTATTTTTGACTTACAATGTCAGTGGCAGAAGGTGCTGTTTCTTCCTCAGAAAAGCTTCTGTTGTCCAGTTAACTCTGAAGGTAGTCAATCTTTGAATTCAATTCTTCTCTGGTAGAATTCAATTCCAGTTTGATAGTATCAATTTCCAGTTTGATAGTGTCCTGGTCTGCCTTCAAAGAGAGTATATCATTGTACATAGCTTGTAGTAAAGATATGATCTGGCTTTCTATGTTATTCATGTTAAGAGTTTAGTTTATGTAAGCAAAAAGATTGTAGTGAAAGGAAAATAGAGTGAAAAACTTTTCTGTCATTTATTATTAGTTTCATATTAATTAGTTTAGAGCATCTTCAGCAGTGAGAGAACTTTTAATTTATCTAAGTTAAACACCGCTATTTTAGCTAAAGAAAAGGTCAATTTTCCCAGCAGTTCGATTTATCTTTTTCTTTAAATAACTTTTATCTTCGTATTAAATTTAATAGGAAGATAAAGAAAAGGAACTGTCTTTTATATTTAGAGTGAATTTAATCGAACTGCTGGGAGGACAAACTTGAGCTAAATCTTTAAATTTAATGTAAAAGTGGAGATAAAGTGGACTGCTGAAGATGCTCTTAGCTTATTCATCTCAGTCAATATTAATTTTGACTTGCCGTAGCTGTATTGACAGCTAATATGCAATGTTTCAGATTCTGTTTCTGAGTTTATACTCATATTATCCATGTCATCATTATCTTGGAGCTATAAAGTCCACACAAAACTCAAAATTATTTAGCATAAAGGCATATCATTTAAAAGCCATTACTGATACTCATACATTTACTTCAAAGTGTTATTTTCAACCTTTAAAAATGTCCTCAATTACAAAGTGTAGTAGTTACAAGTGCAGATTCTGTAATACATTTTACAATAGCACAAGAAAAGTCAAGTTATGCAGATTCAGTGTATGAAAACCCGTTCTTCAAACATGCTTAATTTTGAGATTTCCCAACCCATTTCTGTCCCTGAGCAAACCAACATTGTATCAAACATTGTATCTGGATACACCTCCGAGTAAGTTTATGAAATACATATGCATTGTTAGAACAAGTGATGAATTATATTATTACCTTCATGAACAAGCAGAGAAAACACAGCCACAATTGATAACCAAACTGTGGATGCCTTCAATAATGGTGATAATAATAATAATCAGCCCATGGTAAGACATATATATATGAGAGTATTATACTAATTTACCTTTTTCTAATTAAAGCCCAATGTTGAATATGATCATATCATTAAAGAATTAGCTCCAATGGAAAACATTGAAAACAAAACCGCATCTTTGGTATATGACTTCAGTCAACGTCTTCCTACTTCTAATTACAATGGTACAAGGAACTTATAATTCATCAAAATAATAAAAAACTTTAGAATTTCTCATAAAAAATACGAAAATATTACCAATTATTCCAATGAGATTCGTGCCAGCTCTACAGATATCATGTATAGAGTATGTGCCTCTTATCTTGATATATATATGAATGAAATTGGTGTGGCTGCCACTAATAGTAGTGGATATGCCACTAATTTATTTTAATTAACCAATCAAATTGGTTCTAGAGTTTGGTAAAAATATTAAAAAAAGGTGAAAAAGATAAAGTTGTATTTAAGAGCGAAATAACATAATAGAAACGTCTTTTTTTTTACATATATATCATATAGAGAGTATAGCAACTTGATTTATTCATTTTTTATTTGAAATCGTAAAACTTTTTTTTTGTCTCATTGTCAAGATTGTTGTATTTTGACAATATCACTAATCAATGTGGCAGACCAACTATCTTTTCTACTAATTTACCAAAAGTATGCGATTTAAATTGATTTTTTTTATATTTTATTTTGCTCAAATTTTTACTTTACATTTATTTTTCCCTTTCATCGTAAATGAACATCATCTTGAAGTTATTTTTTATTGCTTGTGAGAGGAGTAAAGCATATACCTGCTACGATGACAGAGGCTTGTGTTGACTTTATCCCAACAAGAACAAATAAGATACCGAGTGCAACTGCAAGGATAAATGCACTGATCAACTATCTGTGGAAAAAGAAACAGGAGACGTATATCAGCGTATTCTTAGAAGAGCAAAAGCTCATTCAACTGCAGTTCTACATGTATACAAGGCAATGCCAACATATTATGCGTGAAGACGGCATTGTAGAGACGAACTGAGGAAGATTGAGTAGTCAACAAAAGTTGTACTACTCCTTGAGACTCGAGGAGTTAATTTAGAAATACCAATTTGTTTTACATAAATTCAGAGGTCAATGAGTTGCTGTTCTTCTCCTTCAAGAAGTGATGAAGGCTGAACACCAAATGGAGAAGTGACAAATCATACATATTAAATTTAGTATCATGCAAGATATTTCAATAATACTTTTCTTTATTAAAAAATATGCTGGCAAAGTTAAGCAGAGAAGTTCAAGGAGAAGAGTTGAGGTATGTATAGATTGTTCAAATGTAAAACTTAATACACTGACTAAACTATATTTTTAAAAGTAGCCTTGGTGAGGCAGAAAGTAGTGTGGCAGCCTCACCACCAAGAAGAAACATGCGGAGCCATCGAATTTATTTATTTTTTGAATTCCCTGTTATTTCCGTCTTCCAGAACAACAACAAAAAATTCTCTTAACAATCTCTCTTTTTTTAATGAATGACAAATCTACTCATTTCCTCTACTTTCTTCCATTACTTTTCCTGTAATCACATTCAAACAACATGCACCACTCAAAATTTAAGACACTCTTGATATAAAATCACTACAATTGTGTTTTGATTTTTAAAAAAAGACTAATGCAACTAGAAAAACACATTTTTTTGCAGTTTTTTTTTTCAAGCAGCTACTATATAATAAACTCTCGACTTCCTTTCACAAAATACAGCCAATGTAAGTTACAGTCTTACTAAAGTGATATTGTATAGGGTATACTAAACAATCTGGCTAGCTATCAATGAGTAGGTGCATCTAATTACTTGGGGCTTGTGCTGCAGTATGGTAGCTACCGGACAATCTTTGAATGCAAACAAATTATAAGGGTAAGCTTACTAGGCCATGTGTATTTACTTTGTATATTAACTTATTTTTGTAGACTTCGTCTTTAATCACAATTACTTGAAGCTGTTAATGAATATACTTGAGGTAATTACAAAAAAAGACACTTTTAAGTACATATATTCATAGTATTCTTTACTTTAGCTTTACACAACACTGAAATAGGATTGCTTGAACGTTCTTTTAATAGAAAAGCATCAACAATTATAATTCATAATGAAGAATCCTGTCATCTATAGCTGATATATCTAAAGATATGTATTACTTGTATAACTAATATATGAGTTAGTATATGTACAAGTTATATTGCTAGTATTATTATTAAGCTTGTATATGAATATGCATCATTATATGCCATGTGAAAGACATAGCATACTATATATTTTATTGTATAGTCCATTGTATAGTATATCGCATAGTACATTGTATAGTACATTATGTAATACATCATATAGTACATTGTACAGCCAATTGTATACTTCTCTTGTATATTTCTATTGTATATCCTACTGCGCAGCAAGCGTATGAATAAAAATAAAATCCACCAATTTTACCACCAATTTTTCCATATATGAATTTACTACCATACTTTTACTACCAATCTGTTTGAAACTAAGCCAATCAAACATGCTGCTTTACTATTCAGTAAATTAGTGGCAATACCACTATGATTAGTGGCAAGCATAGCCCATTTACCACCAATTTCCCCTGCTTTAGCATAGTGTGGTCAGCCACCAAATTTCATGCAAATTAGTAGTATTGCCACACCAATTTCATTCATAGTAGCTACTAAGAGCATCCACAGCGGTCTGTGTAAATGGGCAACGTTGGTGAAACGAAGACAGAGGATGTGGTTATAGGCTTTCTAGCCGCGCTTTTATTATCAGATTATAATAAATAAAGTTTTTTCTACTATACTCCTCTACTTTATACCTTTCTTGTAAGCACCAAGCTTTTGGCGAGCTAATTATTGGTGGCAAGAGGAGGGAACATATAATTGTAACTAATTAACTTAATATACATAATAATAAAATAATAAAATAAATGTTTGGAAATAAATTTCGTTTGTCTAAAATAAACTGTTCAGGAACTTCTTCCAATTTGAACCTGGGCGGGTAGCCACCGCATCCTCTGTCTTCGTTTCACCAATGTTGCCATTGTGTGTTGTTCCTTACACAATTGCTGTTGGCTCCACTCCGACTTTGGATGTGGTTTCGTTTTCGGTAACCTCGCCAAGAAGATTTTCAGTGATGTCTCTCCCACGGGCATGTTGGTCTGCTGGTCTGAAGTAATATCTTTCAAATGTGTTGCTGTTCAAACTCCAGTTGGCATGCATCTTCACTTCTTGTACAGAAGCTCCCTTAATTACGGCTTTTGTACTGGACGCCGACCAGAGAGAGTGTGGCCCAAATATCTGTGTGTCAACGCCTCCATCTACCATCATCTTTTTGATCCAGTTTTCTATAGTCTTCAGGCTAGCAGGTTGACAAGAACTCTGCCCTTCAAGGATATTTGCCAGGAAAAGGTGATGATCCTCTAGCAAATATCCTTGCATCTCCTTCGTCTTCTGGTAGAATTCCCACAAGGTGATCACAGGACAGGTTTGTGAGTCCGCAACCGTCCTCAGTTTTGACATCTTTGCGGCAATCTCCTTTGGTTGTCTAGCAATGAAAGATACTCCCTGTGGACGCGAAGGATTCTTTTTATCAACCATGAAATGAACATCTCAGAACTGAAGATTTCCTAGGTCTGATCTTGGTCTCCACATCGTAGCTACTGCCAACAACAATATAGTTTTCTGTTGTGATTTATCCAATGTGAGTAATGGTGTTGGACCCCAACTCTCAACATAATGTACAATTTGTATTGGATCATATATCTCTTTAGAATGGTTTGGTAGTCTTACAGTTGATCGTCGTTTTGCAAGAAAAATTGTACTAGTAATTGGTGTGATGCAATAGGTGGTTTCGTCGGGTGTATCACTTTGTATACTGAAGCAATGGCAGATCTGCTAGTATTGAGTATTGCTGCGGTAAACTCACTTAATTCCACTAAGTACTCGACAATATTCTTGGCGTTGTACTCTAGGGGGTTATATTTTCTTATTGGGTCTCTGCATCATCGGACCCATTTCATCCAAAGGTTATCATAACTCTTGTGTGTTGATGAACGGTTAGCGCCTCGAATGTAGGTTGCTACTTTTTCATTAATCTCCTGTCTGACTTGATATTCCCTGATAATTGCCATGCGGTCAAATTCCACGAATTGTGCAGTGGTATTGGTATTGATGTTGACACAATTTGTTGTAGAATCATCGGCCACCAGTACTGGCTTGACCAATCTGGTGTTATCATCACTGATGTCTTCACTCGATCTTCTTTCAATTTCTGTATCACTCGTGGGATCAACTGCCATGGGGGGTGTAAGTAAAGTCCTGTTTTCGGCCAACGTTGTTGAAATACATTGGTCACTAGAGCGTCGGGATCCAGCAGGTAACTCCAAAAATCTTTTAGTCGTGTATTTGCTCGGGAGGCAAATGTGTCTATCGTCATTGGTCCCCACAACCCTTGCAACATCTGAAACCACCTGTGTGGTAGCGTCCACTCATACACTGGCTTGTTCTTGCTGCTCAGCTGATCTGCTCATATGTTCTGAAGACCTGCTATATGATGATATCTCACCTTGAGATTGCACTAATTCGTAACCGCTTGGATTTCCAGAGCCAAACCTTGTAGAATAAGTGATGCTGCTCCTCTACATTTCTTGGCATACTTCAAAGCTGTTGTGTTGTCCGAAAAGATTTGGATGATGCAATTTTTGTATTTTTGGGCGTGAAGTTGGAGTGCAAAGAGGATCATCTTCAATTCTCTCACGTTGATCGACATTTCTTTTTCTTCATCTGTCCAGTATCCTGCTGTTTCTACCATTGAAGATGTGACTCCCCAACCTGAATCCAATGCATCGACATGAATCATGACAGCTGGTTCCTTCATTACACTGTTTGTTCGTGTAGTTATCATCAATCCGTTTTTCGCCTGGCTTTGTGTCATCCACCAATTCAACTCCTTCATTGCTAGCAACGATATCATAGATGGTTTGTCCCACTTGTGTTGGTAGTGTTGCAGGCTCACTGCAAAATCGCATTATAAATACCTGATATGAAGTAGTGCTTCCCCTATGGCCGGAATCATAGCTGTCATCTTCCCCAGCATCCCTGCAATCCACCTGTATGATTATGGTCTCATTTGTTGATTCTGCTGTAATTGCTTTATACGGAAAAAAACGTTTGTTCATCTTTGTCTGTGGTACTGTTATCTTCATTTTCTTTGTACTGAGTGTGACACATTGCAGATATATTTACATTTTCGGCTGGCCCAAACATATCTAATATCTCTAAATCTTTTTGTATCAATTATGTAAACCAATTGATTAAGTAATGATTTTGGGAAGAGCATGATTGTTACAACTGGCGCAGCAATCAATTGAAAATTATAAGGATTGTAACAATGAGCCCCAACAATGACTATCTACCTCTATTTCTCTCTCTTATTTTTTATAAAGCATAGTTTATCCCAACCTCTTAGTAATAGCTTACTAATTATACTATTTTATTTATTATTGAAATATCTATATAAACATCAAAAGATGAAAGTAATAAAGAACATCCTTACACATCACTTCTATTTTCTTTTTATCTTTAAGAGAACAAGCTGCCAATTGCCTATATTAGGGCCAAGGATTTGTTAGAGAAGATTGATACATATTCCTTTTTTGGCTATTAATTGTTTGGGTCACTTCTTTACACAAACCAACACAGCCCGTCTCAAATGTAAACCCAAGGAAATCCTGAACATTCTTTGGTTAGAAATAGCTCTTCTGGTAATTGATAATAAATCCTAAGTTTGTCAATTGCTCAAGTACTTGTTTGTTGTGATCTTTCATCTCGTCCTTGGTTCTGGCTAATATGCAAATATCGTCCAAGTAATAGACCAAGTGTATCCCCTTCTGATGGAGCGGCTCCAAAGCGAATTGCATCAGTTTTGAAAACAATCTTGGTGCCACACTCAGTCCAAATGCTAGTGAACGGTATTGATATATATCGTTTCCTGGTATCTGAAAGAGAGATATTTCCACGATTCTGGATGAATTGGTACCACTACATAAACATCCTTGAAATCGATTTTGGTTAGTAAATCTTGCTCTTCTATCAATTCCCTCAATGCAGAGACTCCCTCCATCTTGAAATGTTGGCATTGGATAAATTGGTTTATCCTTTGACAATTTAAAATCAGTCGAATCTTGGTCGGCTCCTTGATGCTGAAGAACTGAGAAAGAAATTTGTCATCCTGGGTTGGTGACTGTTCGATGACCTGTGAGGTGAGAAACTTGCTGACTGCCTTGTCCACAGCATGTTGATCTGTCGTGGTAAGTTAAAATGGTCTTTCTAGCCATGGAATTGGTTTCGAGTGGAATTGGATTTGATATCCCTGGCTTATAACTGACAAGGGCCATTGGTAATTGGTGAGTTTCTTCCAGTTGGGAAAGAAGTGTTGGAGTCGACTCCCTGGTGGTATCCCATCCTCCGGAATTACATAGTGGTTGTTGTTTTTTTTTGCGGTTTTTGTATTTTCTCTTGTTTTTCTTGACATTTCTTCAAATTTTTTGATTGTTGATTGAACATAGGGAGGGGCCTGTTCAATTGCCTGGGGATGGGTTGGATTGGGCATTGTGATTGGCAATGTGTTGCTGGGTCAGATTCGATAGTTCTTGTCCCCTGCCCCAACTAAAATTTCCTCTTTGTTCACCAGTGTATCCACGGCCCCTGAATCTATTTCGTCCTGTGGTACCTCTGTTGTTTCCGAATCCTCCAAACTGACGTGCTGTGGCATTCTTGATGACAGCTTCATCAAAATGGGTTTGTTGGATCCTTTCCACAAGGTTGGCAGAGAAAACCAGATCTTTGTCTTGTTCATCTTTGTCTTCCAGATATCTTAGGCTTTCTGGGAGGTGGAGAGCTTGGGTGATGATGTCTTTGGCATCGTTTTCCAATTCTTTGCTTATAGCAAAACTATAGACGGATAGATGTCTAGTTTTTTCCAAGACTGTGCGTATATTGCTTTTGTTTCCTCCTTCTTCAATAAGGTGTTCGAAATCTTGATAAATTTTGGTGGCACTTCTTCCAGCTGTGCGTAACCTGTCACTAGCTTTGTTGATAGAGGTAACCATCTGGACAGCATCAACTTGGTACCACTTGAGTTCAGGGATGTACAATTTGTTGACAGCCTCTGACTTTGTCCAGGCTCTACCATCATACTTGATGGTGTCTTGGGCAAATTTCTTAAGCTTGTTCTTGAGCTCAATATGGAGAGAGTTTGCCACGTCTTTGAGGATTGCTTTGGGGAGATCCTGTTGGTCTGATCTATCTTGTTGCAGTTCTTGCTCTCGGAGTCTTTTGCTGAGAGTGAGTAATTCTTGAATCTGTTCTGGAGATATTTCATTGATACTAGTCATAGTTTTTCTACAGTGCGCAGCTTAGAAAGGTATAAAGTAGAGGAGTATAGTAGAAAAAACTTTATTTATTATAATCTGAGAATAAAAGCACAACTAGAAAGCCTATAACCACATCCGAAGTCGGAGTGGAGTCAACAGCAATTGTGTTAGGAATGACACACGATTTAATAAGAATGTTAATTTAGATAGGAAATTTAGATTTTTCATCCCCAGAGGATTGCTTACACACCTACTGACATTTCTTTCATTTATGGTAATTTCTAACAGTACAGCTGTTTCTATTGGTTTAGAGTTCCAATTTTAAGTTGAACCTGTTAAGGCTCAGATTTGGGTGTACGAATTTGATATAAATGAGCCAAAAGTGGATTAGTGTAATGTTTTAAGTGTCATGATAAAATTTTAGATGGTACAAAAATCTGAAATGAGGGGAGATGCGAAGAGAGCTGGAAAAGAAGAGATTTTATTGGACGAACCCCATTGGGAAAAATACTTTTTTTTTGATAAGTCATTTTCTTTAATAGATTTTTGCAATGTTCATCAACATCCACCAGAACATGCCGAATTTTGCAATGTTGAGGAACTTTTGGTTATTGGAAGACCCGACGGACAAGTGAATATCAACAGCCTGAATGATATTGATGTCATCTTTGTTGACTTCAACCAGGCCTCCAAGGGGCAGAACCACAATGTTGTTATAATTGTCCATAACCACGGCTGGGGTATAGATGCAATTTACATTGCTGTTCGGAACAATTTGGTACTTTTGCATAAAGAATGCCTTCCTCATTCTGTCTGCAGAGTCTCTTGCTTGAACGATCTTTACCTGACCAAGGAATAATTGACCATTTGATTGAAAAACACCTGCAAGTGTATCACACAAAGTGGGAGTTGACAACCCGGAATTGTCACTGTTGACACAAGAACCAAAGAAATGGAGATAAAAGCCTGGGAAATTGACAGGGGCCAGCTTGACAAAATCACCAATTGAACTTCTCACAGATCTTGTTCCATTACCAGCTGGTTTCTCTACGACATACAATCCTCCATTACAAAGATGCCGACAGATGAATTGCTTGCTGAATCTTGTAGCGACGTCTCAAGAGGTGGAATGGCAGTTGGTCTTGAATAAATGTTTGCGGATGAACTTATTGAACTGTTCACCGTTTTCAGTTTCGTATTGCAGCACGGAACCGAAACAAACAATGTCGTCAGTGATATAATGCAGAAGGTAGACCTTTGGCTTGAACGTGAAGTCTTGCTTAGAAAATCCTTTTTGGAGAATCTGGACATCCAGTTGAAAAATCAGATCTGTTACATCAGTGACAGCATGTTTTATCTGGGCAATATAGTAGTCGAAGCACCAGTCGACTCCACGCATGTACACCAAAGACGACAGGCGGCCTAATGCATGCAAGGCTTTAATGAACAAACTTGCCAATGGTTTGTCACTAAAGAGCTTGCTCATAATTCCAGGCAGGACTTGAATCAATTCCTTGAAATCGCATCCAACAAACGAACCAGTGTGGCAAAACTTGTTCCTGAATGTTCGGCTGTAACTCTTACAAGACTTGTAAGAGTTTAGAGCTTCCTGGAGTCTCCCCTTTTCACTTGTAGTCAGCATCTTCTGTTTCCAGAGAAAAGTCATCAAGTATTTCGTCAGGCCAAGAGGAATAATGTGGAGAATTTTGACAGGCATGTCTTTGGTAGGGTCAAAGGCTTCGAGTCTAAGAAATTCCTCACTTCCATTCTTGATATAACTCAATTCGCACCCATTGAGATATAGCTCTGACTGGGAATCGGCATTGGCAAAGGCACACAAGAAATCCCTCATTCTTTCTTCTGACCCATGGTGGTCAACTGGAGAATATGGTGGAGCGTCAGGGATGGAACCCTGTTCAATACGAGGCGAAGGTATGAGGCATTTTCGGCAAAACTTTTTGGCAGATGTTCCCTTATGCATGGCAAGCTGAGATTGACGAGGGTTGTCACCCATAAAGAGCAACAGGGGCGCAACGATGAGAACTACTTCACCATGATCCTCAGAATACATCTCAATACCTTTCTCCAGTCTAACGAGGTCATCAACGATAGGGGGCAACATCTCAACGGCATTCAGTGTATGATTCGAGGTACAAATGAAAAGAGCATTTTCTCATTTGTTTCTCATCTCAAGTGGCAACACAGCAAAGTACATTAAGTAACTGTCATACTTGTTGTACTGATTTGTTGAATTACCGGAGGTATCGTCGGAATAGAGATTAAGTGGGCAGACAACTACTTTCATCAAACCAGAGCCTGGAAGTCTTCTCTTGAATTCTTCAACATGGGATTTGTTGAGCCACAAGTCAGATTGAACACCAGTAAGAGCATAGGTGACAATTTCGGCAGGGCAATAAGAAACAGAGAAACCACATCTGAGGAAAAGATCACTGTCTTTTTGAACAGTAGACATAATCCTATCAACTTCAATGGTATACTTCAGGGTAGAGACAGCAAAGTTTGTAGAGTTTCCAAACCGCAGGAAGTGTGTATCATCAGGATGGTTCAGCCGAGGATCATGGCCACCATAAACCTGGAACGCATTGGCAAGTATGGATCCATCCTTGGTGAAGAACTTCTCAAGGAGATACCGGTTCGGGGAGCCTTGGACTTTGACAACATCACCCACCCAGTAGTCCATTCCGTTTGAAGTGATCATTGGGTGCTGGAGCAATGGGTTCTCCTTCCACTTTTTGCCTTGGTTGAGATTCAACCGCTGGTTTTCCATGAAGTCAGGAAGGGCCAAGATTTGAGATGATTTTCTGGGGCATGTCATGGTAAACTTGATGTAATCGGATGGTTTGTTCATCCAAAGTACATTTCGTTCATTGTCTTGGTTCACAACATCGAAACTGGCAGTAGGAAAAACAGGGATCTGGTTCTTTTTCTGCTTGTGATAGTTAATCACAGCATTTCGTGTTGGAAAATCCAGTGCTACTCCAGATTCTTCACGGATGTCTAAGACCATCTTCATGGCAAACATGATCTTCTTGATAGATCTTTCTGAGGCAAGATCTTCATCGCTGTAGAAGAGAGCATGTAAGATAAACTCTACTTTCGATTTAAATGGACGGGTGGGTCCAGTAAAAATGTCAGCAAAGTCATTGGGCCGGTACAATGTCTGTCTGCTGCTGTCTTCGTTCGAGTAGGCATTCATGGCATGAGAAAGAGATTGGAAGGTTCTCATTTCTGCAGCCATTCTAGCAATATAATCCTGGCTATCATATTCTACTCTGGTGTCCGTGTCTTCGTCATCAGTAGTCTCATCATAGTCATCTGATGAATCACTGTTCAGCAAAAAAAACAGGTTATTATCTATTTCAATATTGCATTACTAATTTTTACTTACAATAGAATGTGATCATCACTATATTCGTCTTCGTCAGAGATTTCATGGCCATATGTGTCCTGAGGGTTTTCAATAACAAATTCCATTGGGGCAGGTCCATTATTACTGTTCAGGTTGGTAGTGGCAGTGGTAGTGGCAGTGGCAGTGCTTGCAGAAGAAGAAGGGCCATCAAACATAGCAGGTCTAATGTTAACGTATGCTCAATTTCAGCTTTACATTACATAGTATTTTTCATCCTACTTTTAGGATTAACTTACCTTCTTTTTAGAAGTTTCTCATACTCCCCCATTTCATTTGGATGTTTTTTTGTATAATGTCTTCTGAGGCCTTGCAAGGACTCTAACACTCTTTCGGTTTCACAGACGGTGCACACAAATGTTCGGTTGTCTGTAGCCATTGGTGTGAGGAATGTGTTCCTCTTTGTTGTGAAGTGATTTTCCATATTTAAAAATCTTTGGAACGAAAGATGTAGAAAAACGTAAACTAATTCGAGGTACCATATCTTTAATCATGCAAAAAATGACTGCTAAAAAAATCATGTGAAATAATGTGAGCTAATTTTTTTTGTTTACTTGTTTTCTTCTTTTTCTTTTTTTTCTCATAACTGAAAGGTAAGTTTCAAGCATAATCTAACAAGATGATAGCGCCCATCATATCAAACATCCTCAGTAAGTAATATATTTATTATGCCCTACTTCATATTGATACTAATATATTTTTTTTATTAGATTCTATGGAGATTCCAACATGAGATTGTATTAGGAAGTTACTTCAAACTATGCCAAGCTGTCTGTCGTAGTATTATAAGGTATCTACTCCTAACATAACTAAACAAGCAGTCTTTTCCTTTACTTTTGTTAATAATTTTACCCTCATCTCTTTAGGTAAGTCTCATATATCACTGTCTGTCTAGTATAAAAAGGCAATTTACCATATTTTTTACTTCAAAGGTCATAACACTAATACTTTGTTTCTGTTTAATAGTCGTTCTTCTTTACTTTTACCATGTCTATCTCCCAATCTATTTCATAAGAGAGGCTGCTACACTAGACTAGCTACTAGTATATAGAACACGTAATCCTAGCACTATTTTTATTGAAACCAAAATAAAAACATATTTTTGAAACATTTTTTTTGAAACACATTTTTTGAAACCCTATAATTGCAATTATTGGACCCCCCATTTTTCAGATTTTTTGTATCCATCCTTTTTTCCATTCACAGTAAATTCGAGCAGACACTTCATATTCCGCTTTAGGAAATTTTAGTCAGGCCAACTTTAAATCTAGCTTGGACATTGAGTTTAAAAAAATCTCAGTGGGTGTATACACCACATCAGATTTTTGTGTAACATTTTTTGACTCCCAGCTGGGAGTAAACTACTTCCATTTTGGGAAGAGTAACAATTTGAGCTTCTGGTCAAAAGAATTGCAAAATTAAAAAAATTGTCTGGTAAAATTTGATTTTATTTATTTTTGTGGGTTGAAAATATTGGGGGTAGATAATTTTAGGCTTCCCATACCAGCCCTGCTATAGCTGCTACTGTAGGGTAGGCATGCTTGCACTAGCAGCTAGAAATATTTAATAGCTACTCTGAAAATATTTTCAGAAACAAAACAAATAGAATTTTAAAAAGCCCAATTACATGTTTGAAACCAGAAACCGCATCAATGCTTTTAAAATAAAAGGAAAGAAGTTATTGGAAGGACAAGTGCCAAATCTGTGTGAAAATGTCAAACCTACAAAAAAACAAAGGTCATTAATACACGGATTTTTCGATGAAAATTACTATTTTTAAACGACTTACCACATATTAATTGAATCTAAAACAAACAAAAACAAAAACAAAAACAAAAACAAAAACAAAACAAAGCAAAAAAAAAAGATGACATATGTTTATGCTACAGACTTCTGACAGAATATTTGGTCATTTTTAACCCCTGCCAAGACTCTTCAACTTATATTGTAGCTTTAAATTTATGATAAAAGATAGTAAAGTTCTATAAATCTCTGGTACTCTCACAGATAACTGTATAAGATGTAATAGATAAATTAAAAAAAAATTGAAAAAGCTTTAATAAGAGATTGGTCTAAATTTACGCATCTTAAGTTCAGATAGACGATTTTGCATATTAAGACAAAACGTCATACAAGTCTCTATGCTAATTGCTTTCCACGTTTCTTGCAAAGCATTTTCCAATTGTCACAATGTGATAGGCTGAGGTCGTCTTGCGCGGATTTTGTTATCAAGAAGACCCCAGATATTTTCAATTGGACTCAAGTCCAGACTGTTAGGAGGCCACTCCAAAATCTTCAATCCAAGATCTTTCTTGAACTTTTCTGCCAAGGTAGTCTTATGATAACTTGCATTATCTTCTTGATAAAGGTAGTCTCCCTTTTCTACATTAGGAAGACTTTGGTAGAAGGGCATGAATTCCTTCTCCAGAACTTCATTGTACAATGGGGCATTCATGTTACCCTTAAGCATAACCAATGGTCCAACTCCTCCAGACCAAATACATCCCCAAAGCGATACAGAACCTCCATTTCCTGGAACCTTTGGAGTCAAGCAGTCTGGATGATATTTCTCTCCTGGTTCCCGCCATACATGACTACAACCATTTTTCTTGAAAAGGGTAAAGGTTGCTTCGTCTGTCCAAATGACAGTATCCCACTGTTTTTTCCAACCTTTTATTTTTCTATACCAAGCACGACGTTTGGCAATGTGCTCCTTAGTTAGAAGAGGCTTTGATTTGGTTACACGGTAGGCTAGATTCATCTTGTGCAACGTTCGGCTGATAGTTTTTGTACTGACTTTTTTTCCAGTCTTTTTCTTAATCAAGTCTGCCATCTCAACCAAGTTTTGATGGCGATCCCGTTTGACATTCAAGAAGAGATGTCTTTTATCTCTAGCAGTTAATTTAGAAGGTCTTCCTGTTGGCTTCTTATTAGTAGCAGATCCGGTTTTGTTGTATTTTTTTATGATACGCGTGACAGTAGTTCTTGATATTCCCTTTTTCCTTGCAATGTCAGAAATCTTTATGCCATCTTCATGAAGTCCAATTAAGATTCCTTTTTCAACTTCTGAAAGCCTTTCAAATGGCTTGTGAGGTTTACTGCTTCGTTGTCTAGGCATTATATTAAAAAGATTTTATTGAATTTAGCAGATTGAGTAAAGTGAAGTGTAAGGGTGTATTATGAAATAAATAGCGGAAATATAAAACGACCAAATTTTCTGTTCCGTGACTATATATCTAAGTATTTTATTAGTAACTTTTTTTAAAAAAAATGTAATAATAATAATAAATAGTAATAAATTAATTAATTATCTGGTGGATGGGTCTAGGTTGAATATTATGCAATGGATGATGGTATATGAGTTTTTATCTTTCTTTTGATTGACAAACCCATTAGTATAAAGCCTAATGACAATATCATTGGGATTGGAGAACAGGCCCTGCTGCACCAACTGCTTGTGATTGTCACCATCAAAAATGTTGGTTAGCTGACCAGCTACAGATTCCCAGTTTGCTCTGTAACAGAGGAGTTCTCTTGTGGCTGGATCTGCCAACATTTGAGAAAGCATATCTCCAACTGACATAAGTTTCATACTGGCGGCTGGTGTCTGACTTTGATCGGGATCAGTCTTGTATTGTGGTTTGCCGCAGTCAACACAAGATTCCTGGTCGTCATTAATGCCATACAATCGACAACCACTAGAGCAGACATCATACTCATGGCCCTTGACACTTGACTTTGACTTGAGCAAAGCATCAACAGTTTTGCTATGACTGATCTTAGCCTTAGGCTCTAAAAAAAACGATATCACTACATGTTAATGATCTGGAATTAAAGTACAAGGTAACAGAAAATATAATATTTTACCCATCATTATATTGTCATGGTCTCGGATGACAGTGTTTATAAATTGAACAATGTCTCTATATGCTGCTTTAGCAATTCTATGCTGTAGCATCAATTGAGACAGATGAATACTCATCAACTCGGCCTTGGTAAAAGTATTTGTACTGATTTGGCTGCTGTTGTAAATGTGAGCTTCACCCTCATTGTCCTCAAAATTACATGCGCACTTATATGAAATAGTATTATCAAGCTCCATAGACTCCATAGTATATTCTGTAATATATTATTTAATAATTGGAAAATAAATAATACAATTACAGCTCTTTTCATTACCTGAATTGCTAACAGATTTATCTTCATTACTAGTATCATTTTTGTCATGGTACATGTCAACATCATCTAGAATAGACTGGTCAATTTCAGTCATTGTTGCTGAATCTCCTCTATGAATTCTCTTGTGGTTTTGCAGCTTCTGGTAGTTATCAAAAAACAAGATACATTGATCATATTGGTATTGTTGTGTAGATATTCTATCTCTCTGCTGGCTGGTGTTGGAAGAAGACATATTAGTTGGTTTGGTATGTATGTAATATATAAAATAAAGCTGCGAAGAGGATTTTGGTGCTATTCATTAAATGTAAAAGACATCTTTATATACTCTTTATTTTTTAACCAAAATGCTTGCGGCTCTTTTTCTTTTTCTCTCTCATAGTGATGATATAGCAATGATTACAGTAATGTCAATGCTAGGTGAAACACCTGTCAGTAAATAATTCCTGTGGTTGGAAAGATTCTTCTTCATTAATAATTATGATGTAAGTTAAAATACTTCTTGGTTGACAAGGGGGTACCATTAAAAGAGCACTGGTGAAACAGACACGTACTCTTTACTTGTGAGCAATTAGATATTCTTTGGACTTTATAAAGAGGTATATGTATATTTAGGATAATTAACGACCAAATAATTTATGTTTTTTTTAAATAAATTATCAATTACTCTCTAATACCAAAGGCAAAGAAAAACAGCCTTCTAATAAGTAACAGTTAAAAAAAAGTAGTACTGTCTAAACACATTGGTAGAAAAGACATATTTATATTATCTGTGTTGTACTAATAGTATTTTTGAGATAGTAAATATATATTTAGCTAATAGCATTATTTTCTTGTTTATGTATAAAACTTAAAGAAATAGATATAGATAATGAGGGCTATAGTCTGATACTCTTTTACTGACATCATCAAGATAAGCACTACTGATCAAAAGGGATGTTAATTGAAAGTGCCAATGTGAGTTAAAGCATATCTTTTTCAAAAATATACGGTTTCAGTCAAAAATGCCCCTTGGTAAATAATAGTAATGACAGTTAAAATTATTTTTATCTTTGATGACAGCATCAATCAAAACGCGTTTTAGTTGATAATGATAATAAGTATGATATGGGCTTGAGTATCATAACATTTACTTTAATATTGATAAAAAGGGGCTAATTAACTATATGATGTTCAGATGTTATATAGCTACTGTAGAGTATACTTAAAGTTATAATTTTAACTGGTACAGGGTTTTGTCATCGAGAACTTTAATCAAATTTCATGCTATATCTGCAATATATATAGAGTTATATTATTATATCATATACTTTAAAACGTTTAATATGTAGATGGTGCAAAGTATGAACATTTATATATGTAATATTGATTTAAAGTCTAATTCATTTTATTTTTATATTTCTTACAGTTTTGTTGTGTCAACACAAAAAGACTGTATCATGTTCACATGGGCTACTGCAGACAGGTGCAGACAGGTGCATACAAGTGCATAAGCATCCCTTCTTTTATATGTTTTGTTTGTATATCTGTCTGTATCTTTTTCATAGAAATAGCTATCAATTGCTTGTAATAAATCGTTGCCTTTCTCAAACTCAAATCGCTCTTATTCTACTTGTCTAAGCTATCACCTTTTCTTTTCAACTCACTGCTTATAGCTAAAAAAAAACTTAAACATGTCCGATATTAACACAACTCTCCTCAACTCAATTCAAAAGATTGAGGTTGATCTTGCTGAAATCAAGCAAGCATTGCGCGAGCTTCAAAGGCAATTCAGCAATCAATTTGTGCCAGCAGTCAGTGCGGAAGATCTAACTACAATGCAACAAAGCATTATTGAGCAGAGTTGTAAGTCATATATATTCTGTGCTTAGATGTTTATTTACTTTATTAATATTATCATACATTTTTTGTAGCTCTTGAGCACATTGCCAAGTCTGTGAAAAAAGCCCAGCTCACAGAGTACCCTGATCAGCTCGGTAAGCAAGTAATCAATACTGGCAGCGAGTTCAAAGAAAAAAACGAAGCACAAAAATACAATCTGTTGCTTCAGATTCTTCACGAGCAGAACTGAAAGGCACGCTGCAAAGAAGTTCCACAAGGGCAGCCTTTTCCCCCATTAGTCCCTCTTTTAGACCATGATTTGACAGTAAAAAGACTGCATCTCAAAACATTAGGCCATACGGTAAAGCATGATATCATTGACAAAGACTTTCCTGCGGCCTCAAAAGAATGGAAGAATATCCCAGAGAAAAACAGGGAATACTACATGATGCATTTGGAGAGGTTGGCGAAGAATGGTAGATTGCACATCCACCAATGTAAAAGAATGTGATGTGCAAGAATCCTTCTTCGGGAAAGCTTCAAGAGTGACAACCTGACACACAAGAGAAGAATGGCAGAGAAGAACAAAGTAAGTTTATCAATTAACAAATCTATATATTGTAAACTTTAATTAACATCGTTTTCTTTTATTATGCTATAGACACAGCAAGACATAAGTTATTCTTCGCTTTCTTCTCCTGATATGTCAGAAACTGGTGATGTTGAGTCGCCCATAATGGCAGATGTGCTGTAAATTACCATTGTTGCTTTTTCTCATGCGCTGTTAATACAAAACTAATATAAACTTCTTACTCTTTTATGTAGGTCCCCTCCACCCACAGCAAGTGTCAAGCCTGCTTGCAAGAGAAGCCAAAGATCATAGTTTGGCTGCTGTGATTGGCCAAGTTTGATTTTTTTTAGTCTGTCTTTAGTGCATATTTTTCTTATCTCGTCATTTTTCTTTTTATGTTTTTTATTCCTTTTTTCTTTCATATAAAAAATTTATCAACCTCTTTCATATGATTGCTAATGTTGTGATTACAAGAATTTGAAGCAAATGTACAGCATCTACAATTCCGTTATATTCAAATATAAAAGGAAATAGTATATAGCCTTTTTTTTTAGAAAAAGATTTATAGTAATATTTTTGTACTGATATATTATACTCGGGAGTTGTTCTATTATATGTAAGTATATTGAGTAGAATAAACACTTTGAGCTTTCTAACAAGATGCTCATTCCGGTTGTATGAATCAGATTTGAATTAGCTTCATGTTAAATGACTTGAATCTTTGCTCAAGTTTTTCTTCTTCTACGATAACGACTTTCTATAGTGCTTATGTTTTATTGCTTTTCTTATATATAGATCTTAAATATTGATACATTCTCTAATATATATATATATTCTTAGAGTAAATGCTTATTTTACTGAACAAGTAAGCACATTATATAAAGGTAAGCATTATAATAATATTATATCTATTTATTTATTTTAAGTTTTTTCTCTAATATTAGTATATTTGTAGAAATTGGTAAAAAATAATAAGTGCTATCTAAGATATATTAGAATACCCAAAGAATATGAAATACAATTTGAATAGTAGTGTTTTACTGCATATGTTTTGCAGTAGCTAAACGGAACCATTTTTTATTGTGAGTGGCTGATGAAATTTTTTTTCATTATTACTATTATTATTATCATTTTCATTTAATAAAACATGCATTGAAATAAAGATTCAATTCAATTAAACCCAATTCAATACTGTATAATAAAAAACAGACCATTCTGTTAAAGCTGCAAAGGAAAAACAAGAGGTTGTGCTAGAATTGAAAGCAATAGAACAAAAGAAAGAATGTAATAGAGGAAAGGAAGGACGCTTGATTTTTTTTTGAAAAAATGGTAACAGTGCTTGTTTTGGCTTTTTACATAATAAATAACTGACATTTTTTACTATGTAAAAAATGGTAACAGTGCCTGTTTTGGCCTTATACAGAGTCATAACTGCCATTTTTTATTAAGTAAAAAATCGCAGTTATGTTACCAAAGTGGTAACATGTTACCATTTTCTCCACCATAGTGTAATCTGATATTATGTGCCTTTCTTACACAATTTTGGTTGAGTGCAGAGTCAATCACACAACCATTGACAAATGCCTTGCGGCAAGTTTGTATAACTGCTTCAATCGTGCTACACTTTTCCCCCTTTGATTTGTAAAAGTCTTCAAGAAGTTATGAAAGACATGAAATGCCTTCAAAACTATCTTGAATCGTTCTATTCCTCAAAGGCCCCCAGAACTCAATATCAGATCCAGCACCAACACATTCACCTTCACTCGTCATCAGCCAACCAGCAGAGAAATTTTTGTATGCAAGAAGTCTTGCTGCTCATGGTCTTGCTGCTATCTTTGCCTTCGTGTGCTCTACCTGTCTGGTCTGTGCCAAGCCAAGCATGATATTGCCAGTGTTGATTCTGATGGCAGAGTTACTCTCAATGGCATTAGAGTACTTGCCAATTGCTTTTTCTACTAATCTAGCACTGTATGATCTTGGCAGGCCAAATGCTTCGGTCATATCCAGGTAGTGTTGTAAGAGGTGCTGGTTAATGGTGAAAACCTTAAGATCGACCTTGTCCTCGGCAAGCAGAGTCTCAAGATACACATTCCATTTAACAAGTTCTCTAAGATAGAAGTTAGTATATATTTTTAAAAAAGAATAACAAATATTGATATTTAATATACCTTTTTATTGAGGCTTGTTCCTCTGCTGATAACTCCCAGCTCATGAGTAAATTGCACACTTGTACAAGGCCAAGCAATGCCTTCCGTGCAGATATATTTCTTATCTGCTCTGCTACTAGAGTCGGAACAATGAACAGAAGGAAGTCTGCTCAGTCTACTGCCTTAAAGTATCCTGCATTCTTTGATACGTCTCTCCAAGCACCATGAAACGATGTAGGGATCATTTTCTTTGTTAATGTCATTGCTGCACCTATATCTTTCTGAACTCCAACAGAGAGAACAAGCGGATATTTTTTTCTGTACTTGCCAGTGACAAGCCCCCAGATCTGTTTTGCCACACCATGGCAGATACCATGCATTTCATTCAAGGCAAAGAAATATGGCCCGGAGTATGCATTTAATGTTGCCATTGGTGATTGCCCTGTAAGTCCTCTTCTGCTGGACTCGTCTGCCTCACAGAAACCACAGAAGCTACCCAGTGTACGTATGGCAGTGGCTGGTGACATACGGAAATACTGACCATGGCCAGGAGATTGGCCAACAACATGGCAGATTCTGCAGCCATCTTTGCTCATGTGGCCAACATGACATGCTAGCTTCACCAGAGCTGGGATATCACCCATTGCCATTAGCACGTGGACCTTGGCCTTGAAGGTCTCTGTAGATGTTTTGACCACCATTCTTTCGGACTGCAACACACAAAGCTCTTTTATGATTGATCTCATAAATGACTAGAAGTCAGTGGGCACCTTGGGTCCAGGAATCATGGCAAGTTGAATCATTTTTTTTCTGCTCATACTGGATCATTGAATTCAGGTTTAGTATAGTGACATAAATGATTGTTACCAAATCAGAAACCTTATGGGGAGCAAACTCATCTACTGACAGCAAAATAGCAATATCATCTCTTCCCGAGAAGATATGCTTCCTTGACTGATATGCTTGGCTATTGAACACATCAGACTTTGTGCCGTCCTGACTTGGCTCGTGGTGGTGATAGTAGAGCATCTCTGTTCTAGTGCTATTGTTGGCCAAACAGAGAGCAAGTTGTCTGCCCAAAGGAAGTTGGACCATGGTTCTTGCATGAACCAATGTATTATTGTTGTCAGTGCTCTTGTAGCGATCTTCGCTACAGTTTGAGCATTTGGTCTCATGCTCATTGTTGAACAACATGCAGCCATTGCAGCAGACGTCGTATTTCTTCTTTTCTATTCTTGAGAAATGCTTCAACAGCTCTTTGCCAAGATAGAGTGTGCACGCTCTATATGTGATATCTGCTGAGGTGCCAAGAATTTCATTGAAATGACTAGTAATTTTTTTATGTGCTTTGCAAGAGATGCCAAAGTCTTTGATGATTTGGATGAATTCGAGATTCTTTGCATCATCGTAACTGGGAGTAGGAAGAGGTTGACTGAAGTCATATACCATAGACGTAGCTACACCTTTGATATCTTTTATTGCAACTGATTCTTCGATGATATTATCATATTCAATACTGTACTTTAATTATGAAAACACAAATTAATATAATACATTCATATATGTATATATACCTTATCATGGATTCATTTTTATCACTTTTATTGAAGGAATTTACAGTTTGGTCATCATTTGATGTATTGTTTTCCCTGCTTGTTTATAAAGGTAATAACGTAATTAATTACACTTTCTAATAGTATATATGTGATTTGTAGTCTTACGCAATGGAGTTGTTTGAAACAGTGTTCAAAACAATGCTGACTTGTTCAGGAACATGCATGATCTGAGAAGTCTGGATATGATTGTGTCTTCTATGACGGTTCTTAAAGCATTGAACTCTACAATTTTTGGTCTTTTTCAGACTGGGGTAGTGTTCTTTACAAAAATTGCATTGGTAACTATCAAGGATTGAATTTGAAGACATTTTTTTTAAGTTGAAAATAAACACTTTAGAGTAAAGATATGAATATTAATAATTGCTTTTAAATGGTATGTCTTTATACTTAATAGCTTTGAGATTCGAATAGACTTAATAACTTCAAGATGATGACATAGATATTACGAGTATAAACACAGGAACAGAATCTGAAACATTGCCTATTAAGCTGTCTATACAACTTTGGCAAGTCAAAATTAATATTGTCTGAGATGATTAAGTCAAACTAATTAATATGAAACTAATAATAGACAATAGAAATTTTTTTTGGTTTTTATCTTTCTTTCACAACAATTCTTTTTCTCAGGTAAACCAAACTCTCAACATAAACAACACCAATAACAACATCATCTCCTTGTTACACACTATGTACAATGAGATTCTATCTTTGAAGGCAGGCCAAGAAAACTTCAAGCTTGAAATGAAGACACAGATGGAAGAGTTAAAGTTGGAGATCACCGCTCTCAAGAATCAACCAGAGACCCAAAATACTCTAAACCAAGGCATTTCACCTTCTGCCACTATCATTGTAAGTCAAAAATAAAATAATGTGAATATATATTAACATGTTATTTTTTAGTCGGGTGGTAATTATATTCACAAACCTGTGGACAATTTCCGTGACATAACTTTGAGACACATTTTCAAAATGATAAGTGAAGATCTCGGCGTTGAAGTAACCAGTCATGTAAAAGCCACACTCACTTTGGCCACGAAGCTTATATGTGATGATATGGCTGCCTATCCTTTGGTGATCGCTCTTAGTTCTAACCCTAGCTGGGGGTCTATACCAGCAGCAGTTAAGAAAGATATGTGTGTGAGCCACGCAAGTATAATGAAGGATTCTGGTATAGACTTCACCAGATGTCTTGGAAACCGGGCATCAATTGAAAGAGTTGCTCTTCTCTGGAGAGATTGCCATAGAAGATTGCAGTTTCATAAGTAATCAAAATGCAATGGAATTGAATAGGATACTATACTTTAAAAACATAGAAGATTGAATAGTTTATTATCAATAAAATGTATCTATTTTTTGCATTAATAACCAGCAAAGTGAGTAATAAAAACTACTTTCTGTTATATAAGCCAATAAAATGAGTAATAAAAACTACCTCTTGTTATATAAGCCAATAAAATGAATTTAAAAAAGTTATTTTTATAAAAACAACCAATAAAAATTTGTATTTATTAAAATGATCAAAAATGTACATGTATTCTATCCAATAAAAACTATTTTTAAAAGTGTAACAATAATAAGGAGTAATTAATATCCTATAGAAACTCTATATAAACTAAGTTTTAAAGCAAAAACACGAATCAAAATGATGCTCAAATAAAAATAATCAATTCTATATAAATTTTACACAATAAAGAAAGAAGCCATATCCAATAGAAAAGCCAATAAAAAATAATAAGGAAGCAGAGATTTGTAAAAAGTGTTTAAACTCAAGGGCAGTAAAATGGATTTTAGGCAAAAAACCGCCAGAACACCGCCATCCAAAACCGCCAGAAAACCACCAGAAAGCCACACTTTTATTTCCCGTAGTGCAAGAGCAGATTGTGTTTTCTTATAAAAAGGGACACTTTTTATTTATGAATAAAGACAACTGATATACAGTCTCAAAGTATTTCTATACGTCTCTATTATCAAATTTATTATTTTTCTATTGTTTCATACCTGAAATACCACAAGTGTTCCTGCTTTCAGCTCCTTGGGTACTTCTGGAGGGACGTACTGAAGAGACGATAAATGTGTTGAGTTGAGAGAGGCTCAGTCAGAGCAAAAAATTGGCAATGATGACAGTTGAGATATCCCAAGACCTGATAAAAACTCACATTTCAGAGTCGTGCGCTTTATCTGCCAAAGGGATAAAATCTACAATGACATTGTATTTAGGTGGAGGAAATCTACAGACTGGTGCAGACATGTACTATATTACAGGAAAAATTGTGCTTCATGTGATAAACAACACATTCAATACACTTATTAATAAGAAGAATGCTATTCTTTCATGGGGTAACTTAACGTCCTTTCAGAAGAATTATCTTGTTCACAAGATCGAGAAAAAAGTCTTGGAGAAGAATATATCCCTTAATAGATTTAAAAACTCATAAGCAGTCCGTCATATGCTCTCTCAAAAATGGAGAACTGCGATAAATGATGTAAGAAAGAAAATAAAGATATACTTCTTTAAATAACAGTAAATTAATAAATCTATATCCAAGTAATATATTATGAAAGAACTTGTATTTAGCAACTGAGTAAAAATATCACTGATATTAATTAATTTAATTAATTTAATTAATGAAAGCAAACTATAGGCTTTTCACGTATAATGTATGTTATTTACACTTCTTTTTAATATACTTCTCTTAATTTCATTTCTATTTTTTCCATCGTTTTTTATATCTCTTTTTTCAGTTCCAAGGTTTTTTTTTAATAAAAAATATTTTCATTTAAAACATCATGCATTTTCTGGAACAATTATAAGAAGAATAGATATACCTAAAAAAGGTATAGCTCTACTATATTTAGATTATTTGATTAGATTAGAAAAAAATAATATGAAATCCAATGAATTGTATTCTCCAAATTTTTTATGAAAAGGGAAATATTTATCTAAAAATGATATAATTTTGCTATTTTAAAAGATTTTACAGTAAAAAACATTTGTAAGGCGCATAATTTGAGAAAATAAGGCACACAATTTGAGGAAATAAGGCGCACAATTTGAAAAAATAAGGTGCACTTTTAATATTTTAATTTCTTTTTTAGAAAAACAAAAAGTGATGTACCAAGCACGTATTATTTTTTTTCCTTGCAAAAAATCATGCAAGAAGTGCATCAAGTCCCATTTATATATGACATCTAAGAAATAAAAAGATTTCTTCAAAATGTTAGTGGCAACAAGAAGCTATAAAACGAAAAGCCTTAGTTTCAGTGTATATAACGTCGCTTACTGTAATACATTGTGACTGACTCTATTAACGTTTGTGAATGAATTTCACAAAACGAATTGCGTGTATAAAGCTTTACTTGTAATAAAGAAAGCAATATATACTTCCTTTCTCAATTATCTTAGCTTCTACTATAACCAAATGTCCTCCTTTAAAATCGTGTATGAAGGTGGTCAAGAAAAGAGTGTTAATGAAGACAGTTCTCAAGCTTTGAGTCATATAATTGACGAGGATTATAATGGTCTTGAGACAATAGCAACTCATTCCCAATTCCTTGAATCAAGAAATGGAGATAGGATTTCAGAAGTCTCAGAGGTATTTTTTTTAAAAAAAATAAGTGGTAATTAAAAACGTATTTAAATATATATCCAATTTAGAGTGCCCAGACAGAGAACCAAGTGGGAAGTCCAAGCATCCCCCCACCAAAAAGAAGCAAGACTACTCGTCAGTGTAATACTTATACTGATGAGGACATCATCAAGTTTTTAAGCTCAAGGATGAGAAATTGCTAAGTGCTAAGGCTGCAGCAAAGCAATTGAACGTAAGTGCCAGAGTGACACAACATTGGGTGAAGAAGTATGATGAAAACCCTGACAACTTGTTCAACCATGGCAAGAAGGGCAGGAAAAAAGGACTGACTGACGAGCACAGGAAGTGCATTAAAGAATTCATTACCGAAGATACATCTGTCTATGTTAAAGACGTGATGGACCATCTCGTCCTGGTGTTTGGCAAGATCAATGTGTCAAAAGAGACTGTCAGAAGGTTTATAGCCAACGAATGCAACCTCACATTCAAAAAGGTCTATAAGCAGCCTGTAGCAAAGAACAGTGAGGAGAATATCAAGGCAAGATATAACTGGATTCTGCAGATGAAGAAAACAAGTGCTAACTACATGACCAACTGTGTTTTCTTGGACGAGTCTGCCTTTGATATCAACATACAGCATGGAAGAGGATGGTCCAAGAAGGGAAAGAAGGGAGTCACCACCACCCCAACCACCAGGTCCCACCCTCTTACCATTCTTGGGGCTATATCAGCCAAAGAACTTATATACGTCAGCTTGAGGAATCTTAAGTTCTGCAAGCAGTCCTCTTCTGGTGAGTTTGGCTCAAAGGGTACAGTGGTTGGGCATTTCTTGATGTTTGTGAAAGCTGTCCTTGGTGAGATGGACAAGTATGCCAATATAAAGGGGAACTTCCTGGTGATGGATAATGCATCCATCCACCAGAGTGCAGATATCAGTCGATATATCTTCTCCAGGGGATACAATTTGGTCTACCTTCCGGTATACTCTCCAGAACTCAATCCTATTGAGATGTTTTGGAAAGTGGTGAAGGACAGAGTGCAAAGAAAGAGTTTGAATGACAATGAGACTATTCTCACCAGAATTGAGGATGGATGGCGTAATCTTAGTGATGAGGACTACCATAACATCGTTCAGCATTCTGTAAACCAGTTCGCAAAATGTGAAAATAAAGAACCTTTGTGATTTCTCATTTTTTACATAATATAACATACACTCAATTGTGCGACTTAAATTTTCGAATTGCGTGCCTTGTACAGTCTCATCAATTAAATGAAAGAAAGTTTTAGTTTCTGCCAAAGTGAAAAATAACATTCATAACTCTCTCTTAATTGTTTGTTTACTTTTACTTAAGAAACCACTTTCAAAATCATTGGAATAAGAATATATAAACTTTAAATATTAAGAACAATAATTTTTATTGGAAGTTTAACATTTGATAATATCACCACAGGCTTTCTTCATACAGGCTATGCGAGTTGGCATAGACATGCAGTATGTCTTGCATACTGCAACTGGTATTTTCTTCCATTCTTTATGGATAACCTTGTCTAGCTCTTTAATAGTTTTTGGAGCTGGTACTCTTGCTCTTACCATCCGACCCAAATGAGCCCATAGGTTCTCAACAAGACTGAGATCTGGGCTATTTGGTGGCCATTCCATTATTGATACATTCTGAGTCTTTTTCCAGTTCTTAACAAGTTTTGACTTATGACAAGGAGCATTATCTTCTTGATAAATAAACTTCCTGTCATGTCTTTCACTTAGGTGACCATAAAATGAGAGCAACTTTCTTTCCAAAAGATTTATATAGCCAAATTTATCAAGACTGTTAATAATTGTTTTTAGTGGGCCTACTTCTCCTGCTCACACACACCCTCAAACGATTACTGAACCATCTCCAAACTGTACTCTAGGCATGATACAATTAGACTTGAACTTCTCCAGAGGAAAGCGTCAAATTCTAAGGTTTCCATCCTTTGGGAAAACCATAAAGTGAGACTCATTGCTCCAAATCACATAATTCCATCTTTGATTGGTTTCTTTGCAACGTTTAGCAAACAACAATCATTTCTTTTTATGTGCTCTGAATAGTCTTGGCTTAAACACAGGATGAAAAGAAGACATTCTGATCTTACAAATAGCTTTGTGTATGATATTCTTGGAAATGTACTTGCCAATCATAAGTTTCTTGGTGTTTATGAGTTCTCCAAGTGTGACATTATGATCTTTCTTCATTTTGTTTTTAAGCTGGCATAAATCTTTTTTACCCAAAATTGATGGACGTTCTTGGCGTTTTTTTGTTAATGGCGTGCTATTCTGTTTCCATCTTTGAACTGTACTATGTACAGTTGTCATAGATATGCCTGTCTTCTCTGAAATGGCAGTCAATAAAATGTTATGGAGAGCACCACTGAGAATAAGTCCTTTCTGATAGTCTGAAAGTTCTTTTCGTTTCTTAGGAATACTTTTATTTATTTGCTAAAACATTGTGAGATTTGAATGAGAAGAGTTTTTAAAAAAGCACAACAACTTTGCATTAAAAATGTTCAATACAGTTGAGTTTAAACTTTTTTCTTTCTTTTATTGTATGGGTCTGTGTGTATAGATTGTTCAAACGTAAAACTTAATACACTGACAAAACTATACTTTTAAAAGTAATCTTGGTGGGACAGAAAGTAGTGTGGCAGTCTCACCACCAAGAAGAAACATGCAAAGTCATTGTATTTAATTTTTTGAATTCCCTGTTATTTCCGTCTTTCAGAACAACAACAAAAAATTCTCTTAACAATCTCTTTTTTTAATCAATGACAAATCGACTCATTTTCTCTACTTTCTTCCATTACTTTTTCTGTAATCACATTCAAACAACATGCACCACTCAAAATTTAAGACACTTTTAATATAAAATCACTACAATTGTGTTTTGATTTTTAAAAAAAGACTAATGCAACTAGAAAAACACATTTTTTTGCAGTTTTTTTTTCAAGCAGCTACTATATAATAAACTCTCGACTTCCTTTCACAAAATACAGCCAATGTAAGTTACAGTCTTACTAAAGTGATATTGTATAGGGTATACTAAACAATCTGGCTAGCTATCAATGAGTAGGTGCATCTAATTACTTGGGGCTTGTGCTGCAGTATGGTAGCTACCGGACAATCTTTGAATGCAAATAAATTATAAGAATATGCTTACTGGGCTATATGTATTTACTTTGTAAATAAACTTATCTTTATATACTTCATCTTCACTAGAAAAACATATGGGAATTACTATGTACAAAGTTAAATTATAACAATTGAAAATCTGGGGTATTTTTTCATCTCAGCTTTTTTTGTGTGTTCAAGATGAAAACACTGTTTTCCGGTTTTCTATTGGCTCGGATACAACAGTCAAAAATATTATTTATTATTATTATTATAAAGACATAACAATTTATTTTAAAGACATAGTAAATTTAGTAAATATTGTACTTGTTTCCTTTTTCTCTTAACACTTCAAAGTAAAAATAAATAAATATTATATCTACAATTCCTGAACTCTGCAACGAAAAGTGCCATTGTGTTGGATGTAGTCAGGACGATCTCGGCTATAGTTTTGTTGCCAGAAGAACTGCTCAACGTCATAATAAAAGGGCAAGACTAAATTCCATAAGATGTGAAAGGGTTACAATATTTGAATTTATTTAATTGAATTGTAATCCATGAAATAACGTGTTGTAATAGACATGTCTACCCAAAGAAATATGATGGAGGTCGATGATGAACATAAGGTTTATTTAATTCAGATACCATTAGATATTAACCAAGTGTTATATTCTAAATGTAGCTATCTTAACCCATCAACTCGGAGCCCTAGAAGAATCATACACTCAGACAAAATTACCTGTTTGGGAAGGAGCTTCAATGTCTGATACTGAAGACGTTTCTGTTACTAATGACATGATCAGCAATGGCGACAATGATGACAGTAGAAGCAACAGCAATGAAATCAGTGAAGACGAAAGCGAAGACGATGTTATTGAGCTCAACGACAATGAATTGAATAGTGAAGGTCAGTTAGTGTTAAAAAATTAAAAAAAATAGCATTAATTTTTTTATAATAGACCCTTTTGCCACCCCCTGTTGTGGTGGTTGAAGTTGAAGAAGTTTTTTAAGAAGAAGAATTAAAGATTTGAGATGAGGAACAAAGATTTGTGAGAACTTGTGTAGGGTTTGTTTATTGAGAAAGATTTGGTATCAAAGTTTGATGAGGTTCCTACACTGAACTACTACTGCTATTTATATTATTTTGGATCGGGAAAATTATATGACTGGGGTCAGATAATCGATCCTATCTGAGCCTTAATCAGAGCAATGTGATCTTGGAATAATTAATGTATGATTAATTATATAGATGTGTGTAGTCCCAATGAAGTATTAACATCGAAAGTAAATGTGTTTATGAGTTATAATTATGCTTATAATAATCCACTGGTGTATCCTATATTATGGTGATATCATCATATGAAATATAATCACTATCATGCATGCTAAACCTGTGTGTTAAATAATAAAATAATCGGTAAACACCTTTGACTGGAATAGCTGAGGCCTTATATTATTTCCTTCAGACTTATTCTCAATTACAGCAGTTGTCAATACTCATTTACAATACCCCCGATATGCCCCAGAACCCAGTGCACAGGTTCATTGCTACTTTTGTGGTGATGTTCGCTTCCCACTATGTGGTTGACAAGGGTGCCGTTGTCTTAATCAAGTTCATCAACAAGCTCTTGACAATTTACGAGCAGGATTTCTAGCTGCCCTTGAGCCTTCCTGATCTTCAGCGCATGACAGGTTTCTCAGCCATAACAAAAGGCATAAAGAAATTTGTTGTGTGTCAGGATTGTCACAAGGTGTACGAAGAAAGTGTATCTGTCCCATCCCATTGCGATTTTGTAAAGCTTGGTGCATGCTTGTCTTGCAACTGCTAATTGAAGAAAACATCAGCATTGGGTGCTTTGATGGTCAAGCATTCATACTTGTGCCAGTCCGTCATTAATATTTTAGGGGATTTATACAGACATACAAGAAAAATTAGGGTCATACATACAAAAAAAAGACTAAAAGGGAGAATTAAACGTGACGTCACCTATAATTGGCTTTTGGGAGTGTTACCAACAAATTGGACACTGATAAGACATGTAAAAGCGAGTAAATTGAAGAACTAGATGTGACATCACATATAATTAGTTTTGCATGTTACACGCATTTTTTGGAGGGTCAGCGTTGATATTTGTTAAATGTTTCAAAATTAATGTTGATTGTAAAAATATAAAAAATTATAATGAGATAAATATAAAGATAAATATAGAAGATTATAAGGAAAATAAATATAGAAATATAGAAAAATAGAAAAATAAGAATAAATGGAATAGAAACAGAAGGGAATATTGATAATAGAGATAAATATAGAATCTAAAAAGTAAAAAAAAAATCTAAAAAAGCTATATACAAAAAGTTAATATAATTCAAGATAATTCTAGTTTAAAAGCCATACCTTGATTGTTAGTACATCAAAGAATAATCTTGAAGGCCATGTTTTTGAATTATTCTTTTATGAAAGGGGTTGATTTTTGGCCAGCAGAAATTTCGAGTGTTTTTGTGCTTGGCAAGAAGAAAGTGGTTTACATCTAAGATAATAATTATTAGTTCTACTTTTTCTGGCAAGATAGCAAATGGAACAAAAAGACAGTCGCCTGTTTCAATTGGAGTATTTCAATATACAGCCACTGTTCTGCTAAATGTATTGGCTACAAGTTGAGAATGATTGATTGTACCAAACCAATGTTGCTGGGGGAGAGGTGAGCGCTTGTTTTGGAGACTGCGAATTAGTTGGTTATTGGATGCAGTCATATTGCCATGCTCCATTCTTCCCTGGTAGTATGTGTGTTGATGTTTTAGAAATGTGTCAAGCATTTGGTCTTTTACTTTTGATCACTCCTCTTGGTCCTGGTACACTTCCATTGCTATCGCCCTGTACCCACAATTTCCGTCTGCTTCAGGAGAAAAGATTGTTGATATATGTTTTGGTGCGATTGTGAGATTTGTTAGTAATGTGGGATTGCATGGTGACCCAAGGTTGATAATATTTTTTATGGCTTTTTGCTCTTTAGCTGAGAATATTTTTTGCCTAGAAAACAAAGCAAAGATTTAGTAAATTAAATCTAAACAATATTAAAATCTTACTTTTTTTGTTCTTCTTCTGTTTTAATTTTTTTTGTGATTTTTTCTTTTTTGGTATTGATGCAATGCTCTAATGCAATCATCTTGCACTTGGTATTTTTTGGTCGGCCTTTAATGGCTTCGACTACTGTTGGGCCCTTAAGGTTTTCGAGTTTCTGTGCGTCGATTTGTTTCAAAGTTCTTTCTATCAATTGGTATATATTGATTTGTTCTTGTTTGCTCTGAGCATTGGCAAAATGTTTGCAAATAAGCTCAAGAGCATAGTTGAATTCTGGGGTTATTGGTTTGATATTGTTGATGTTTGGGGGTACTGGGGTTGCATTTTGGATAGTTAAATAGTCTACGGAATAAAATGTTATATGAGAAAATCGTCACGTAATTATTGCTATTATTATATATATTACTTTCTCCTTCTAGATAGTTTTTTCTCCAGCGTCTTGGAATGCAGAAGATTGAGATGGTATTGAATTTGGCAAGCGTGTGATAACAAGAAAGCAGGTAATTATATTGTATGAGGCATTTGAACTCTTTGGCTAGTTTTTCAGGTATAATGGATTTGGATAATTCTAATTTGATTTGATCTATTGCAAATCTACAGACTTTAAGATGGATGTCATTTAGTCTGGTTGCATTGACTTTATCAAACATAATCTTTGTTCCTTCTCCAAGGCTTTCCACCATTAGCCGATGCTTGCAATCTGCAACCTATACAATTTATAAATATATTATAACCAATAAATGCATAAAATGGTATAGAATAAACTTACCAACTCGTCATACCACTTTTTTACTTTAAGGGTAACTGTCTTCAGTTTACTCAAGGAAGTACCAAGAGAAGAGTTGAGAGAAGCATAAGCACTTTCTGCACGGTTCGACATGTGATTGCCAAAATGGGCATGTTTGTAAACATACATGTTCACCCAGTTTTCCTTGTCTTTCATTTTTCTGATAAAGTATATTAAAACAACACGATTTTTTATAGTTAAATACTGTTTACATCAAATTTAAAAAATTTATACATACTTCTCAAGAAAAGCACTAGCAGCTTTTCTCTGGTTTTTGCAATTTTCCTTTGCAAATTCAAGGTATCCATTTGTTTTGTTTTTTACTTCTTGATGTGTAATGCATTTTAAAGCAATTCAGTCAAGGAATTCTGACAGCTTATCCAACAGGTCTCTCTTTTTGATACTCTCGTCTCCCTTCATCATTGGAAGCAATTGCTTTTTAAAGTTGTCTTTGATATGCTTATAGCACAACAACTGCTTTGACTCAGGAAAGACTCAATTAATAGCATTTCTCAATGCTTTTTCGTTGTCCGTGATGAAAACATCTGGGAGAAGTGTTGTTTGTTTGTTGTTGCTGCTGTTGCTGTTGTTGTTGTCATTGGGCCAGACTGCATTGCGGAGACAGCTAAGCACTCAGAGATAATTTTCTTCTGTCTCATGCTCTACCCAAGCACCGGCAATTGGATACGTCTTTAAAGTGGTACGAGAGTTTCCACTCACATTGCTAGTACCAACAATGTTGACATAAGTCATTTGATGACTATTTGTCTTATATGTGGCATCAATAATGACAGTCTCAGGCATTCTTTGTGCCTCATTAATCACATCCTGATGCACAAAGAAGACCATATTCACTTGATTGTCTTCTGTATTACCAACAGAATACCTGACATGGAAGTCAAGATCTTGCAGAGTAGTGATAAAGTAAAATATCTCCTTTCCTTTTTCCGATTTTCCAAAATGTTGCTTTATATTAGCAATGTCATGGCAAACAATATTTGTATATCCATTTATTTTCAAACTGTTGAAGATGGTGAATACATCAACATTGTTCTCCAGATGCTTAACCACAAGCGCCATTGCCTCAGGTGAGAGTTTGCAGTACATAGCATATGCTCTGCGGTCTTCTTCAATGGGGTGGTTATGCTCTGCCTCATGGGAGCGCACAGTGAGCTTTCTGCCCTTCTTGGTGTTGGCATACATGAAGCAAGGGCAGCCATGCTTCTGCATGTCTTTTTCGCGCTTTCTCTCCCATTCAAAAAGAGTTTCACCCATAACTGATGTTTTGGAAGCAACCTTCTCGGCTTTTCTGGTATCTCTATATTTGCCAGAGTGCTTGCAAATCAATTTGATACAAGAGCTTGATGCATATTCAGTAGTGAGAGCAATATTATGCTTGACACCATATGTCTTGGCAGCTTCTCGAACAGCTATGACTGAAGAGAATTCTCTTCCAACAAGAAAAATTGAGTTGAACTCAGTCAAGGCAGCATCGTACTTCTTCAACGTCTTGCTAACAATGACAAAGTCGTTGGTGTTGTTGATGTTGTTAATGTTGCTCATGTTAAATGTCAAAGAAAATTATGCACTAATGTTGTAGTAAAAAAGGGCAGTGATTTAATTGGCAATCTGAAGAGTAATTTATCTGATCCTACCCAAAAAAAAATGTAGGTAACATGCAAAACTAATTATATGTGACATCACATCTAGTTCTTCAATTTGCTTGCTTTTGCATGTCTTATCAGTGTCCAATTTGTTAGTAACACTCCCAAAGGCCAATTACAAGTGACATCACGTTTAATTCTCCCTTTTGATATTTTTTTGCATGTCCGACCCTAATTTTTCTTGCATGTCCAGATCATTGCCTATATTTTAAGAATGTTTTTTCTTTGTCTAGAAATCAAGGATAAAATTAGACATTGGAATCACAAGCTGAAGATGGTGGATACAATGTGTGACATATATGACGGTGCCATGTGGAAGGAGCTCAAAGTCAAAGATGGCATGCAATTTACAAAGGATTCGCATTCATTAATGCTGACTCTTAACATCAACTGGTTTCAACCTTTCAATAATGTTACGCACTCGACTGGTGCCATATATCTGGTAGTAAACAATCTGCCTTGCAATGAAAGATACAAGCCAGAGAACATACTTCTCGTAGGACTGATGCCTGGCCTAAATGAACTCAAATCTGAAGAGATAAACCATTATCTCCAGCCTATGGTAGATGATCTGATATGATTGTATGAAGGACTAGCAATCCCAACTTTCGAATGTTCTAGTGGTGTTTGCATCTGTGCTGCATTGATGATGGTGGCCTGTGACATCCCAGCAGCAAGAAAGACAAGTGGGTTCACCTCACACAACAGTACATGCACATGTTACAAGTGCAACAAACATTTCCCTCACTTGGAAAATGATGTCAATGTTGACTTTCGTGGGTTTGACTTCTCTCGGTGGGTGCTTCGTGACGGTGTAGAGAACAGGTTGCATGCTGAGAAGTGGGAAAGTGCTAGTACCCCCTCAGAAAGGCATCGGCTGGAGGTCAAAAATGGTGTTCGATGGTCGCAGTTGCATTGCCTAGAATACCTTGATCTAGTACGTGGAATGATCATCAATCCCATGCATAATTTATTCTTGGGAACGCCTAAAAGATTGATGGATTGTTGGATCAAAGACAAAGACATTCAAGATGGCGATTTTGCGGCAATCCAAAAGACTGCAGAAACAATGATTGTGCCTGGTGGATACACCTCTTTGAACTCGAAAATAGGAAAGCAGTTTTTGTATATGAAGGCAGATGAGTCAAAGTCATGGATGCTTGTATACTTGTCAGTTCTGTTAAAAGATGCTCTTGCAAAAAACAGATTTGAAAACTGGATTAACTTTGTTGATGCATGCTGCCTATTGATCAAGCCAACAATCACGTTCGATGAAGTCAACACTGCCTATCAGTTTCTTCAAACTTTTTGCACCAGATGTGACGAGCTGTACAACGCCGAAATCCTCACCTGTAATATGCACCTACACCTCCATCTTCGAGATACAATTCATGATTTTGGACCAGTGTATGCTTATTGGCTATTCGGGTTCTAGCAATTTAACAGGTTGTTAAAAAAATTGAAGGCAAACAGAAAGATCAGGTTTGAAGAAACATTTATGAAGAAATTTATTGAAGATGTGTACAAAGACGATCTTGTCAACATTTTTCTTCAAAGTACCTGCCAGACATCTGCATTTCCTCTCCTTACCAAACTCAATTCTTCCTTTACACCTGCCACTATTCCATCCATCCGTCAACGTACTTTCCGCATACAGTCATTTGTTGAGGCTTCTGAAGATCCAAATGTACTTGTAAAAGGCAACAAACCTCTCCCTCCTTCCGCATTCCCTCTATCATTAAAATCCGCTACCACAATGAGTGACATTCACTATGTTCATCTCTTACAATACTACAAAGTTGCGTACAACAATGAACAATTAGTTCACTTTCAACAAGCGTCGGAATCACCATACTTTGTCAACAATACAATCACCCTGTTGAAATACATCAACATCCTTGGGCAGGTCTACAAGGGTAAAGGTGAATCTGGAAGTTGTGGCTCTCTTGTATAAGCAAAGTTTATTGGAAGTACTGGTGAGTATATCATCGCATACACAGGTCAAATATAGTACATTTTCACTCATTCTTTCACTCCTCCACCCACCTCATCATTCCTTACTCCCTTGCTCCGCACCCATAGTTGCCCAATGCAACTTCTTCACAATTCTCAACATACTTTTGCATTTATCAAATAGTACACACCCGAAAATGATAAATTGCGAGAGTACAAACACGTTGAAACCTGCTTTCCAACATTTTCTCCTGACGATTTGCAATGTGTGTTGCCAGTGCATAAAATAATGTTAGAAGTAGCAACTGCTGAGCATACAACGCGCAGAAAAGTAAAAAAGATGCTAGTCATTCCTTTGCCAAAAAAACAATACATTTAAAAAATAATAAAATATAACTCCCTTTTTTAAAGGCACACAGAAAAGAATAATCATAGTGTTTGTATTTGTTGGTACGTTTATCATTGTCAGATGGAGGATGTGGAGGATGTGGAGGATAAGAAAACAAAATTTATTGAAACTCATCTCTAAAAGTCCAATGAGAGAGAAGGGATGTCAATCTAGACGGGACTGCTAAAATAGCATCTCTACCAAAAGACCTCTTCAAAATCTGATGCGAATTGAAGTCCATGCAATTATGCATAAAATCATCAACAACCACAAGAAAGTGATTGTACTAAATACAAATAAGTGATTAATCAAAGTTCTGTTTCATTTAAATCCATAAAAAAACAAAAAAAGCTATATACAATAATGTAAACAAAAGAAATTATCTCATTGCTTCTCCAACTTGGATGCACTGTACAAATCACACAGTTACTCAAGACTCCAGACATATTGTTTTCAGATTCGTCCTCAGACATTGCTTCTTTCTGTAAGAGTCTGTCACAGCTCTTACCCACCTTCACATCAATTTCAGTCTTGAATGTATAGTAGGTCAGCTTGCGATGGTCAAAATGCTAGTTTATAAATGTATTAATATGAATACATTTAATTTGCAATCAAAATATACTTCTAACATACATTGGTCTCTCAACCTGCTTTTCTTGACTGAGAATTTGTTTTTTTGCGCGATTCATACAATTCCTTGATTTGGCGTCTTGTTCCACAAAAGTTTGTATATATACAATTGCTAATATTGGCCTGTTGAATACTAGTCCCAACAACCTTTGGAGCCAGATATGCATGAAGGTCATGCATCAGCTGTCTGTTGGGTAGAAGTCTGTAATCAACATTAACATCCCAACTGTGCTTGCTGTCATTAGCTGCAACTAGTTCCAGCTTATTTGATTTGAAGTTGTGTTTCTTCAACTCTCCTCGGATAAGAGTCTATACTTAGTGTGAGATATTATGTTGATAAACTACTGTACATCTCAACACTTACTAAAACTTTATTGCAATTATGTTTACTAATTTCACCAGCGTTTGCACCAGTAAGAACCACTGGACTGACAGAAGGAGCAGCAGAAGAGATGCCAAAAAAGTCTCCGAAGGTGTTGTATGCCAATCCAGAGTAGAACCAATGGAAGAAGCTGCGAAAGGGACAGAAGCAGAAGCAGATATAGTAGTAGGAGCAATAACTGCAAGGAGTTCTCCAAAGGCATTGGCAATGTTATCAAGTATTTCCAATGGATCTTTGTTGCCCTTGATGACAATGTCAATATTGCAATCCATAGTCTTGAGGCTTTCCTCTATAGCAGTGAGCCTTCTTAAAAACTCAGCATATTCCGGGAATGGAGCTGGGGTAATTGACTGATGATTGTTGGCCATGGTCTGAAAGCTATCAAATAAAATGTTATACATGAGTTGATTTTTAATTATATTTGTTTTATATATCTATTCATTATATATATAGTGTTATTAACATACCAAAGAAGTTAGGTGTTAAGCAAAAGAATAAAGTGTAGTTAATGGAAAGATGGTAAAAGTAAAAGCAAGAACTCATTTATTATATTACACTTGTTGCTGTAAATACTCAGGATTTCTTTAATATGTGTATCTCTATTAATACTTTCTGAAATTAATGGGGTGCAAATCAGCTTTGAACATGTTTTTTTCAACTCAATCCAATATATGATTTCTGTCTTTTGGCCTTTTGGCCCTTTGGTCTTTTGGCCTTTTGGCCCTTTGGTCTTTTGGCCTTTTTGTTTTTTTTCATTTACAAGTTTTCTCTCTTCTTTCTCTTTTCAACATTTATTATATTCACAGATTTTCTTGATAAGATATCTTCTTCTTTAATATTATATATATATATATAACTAAAATGATAATAATTGTTTTCTATTACTATAGACACTTGCGTTTTATTATCTTTTGATGCATCCCCTTCACAATGTTCATTTGGATTAGCTAAGATTAGTAAATATATTTTATGTTGTTATCCTATAAAATTATCCTGACTTTTTCCTTTCTTTCATATAGGCCATATTGCCAAAATTACTCTCTACTATTAAACATAGTTACAAACATGGTAATATTTTATTTTATTTCAATCTATCTCTTTTTAATAAGCACACGGCTTAACACAATTTCTATTATAGATGAACCTTCCTCTTATGAGCATATCACAAATCAAGAACATTCATTTCATACGAGTGTCATTGACATGGTAAATATTTTATTTTTATTTTTGTACATATAATAATATTATTTATTTTGTATATTAATGTATATCATTTACTGAAGACAATATCAGCATCTCCTATGTACTCTCTTGGTCTGCAAATAAATCCTTTTGCTTTAAGTAGATAAATGAAATATTCTAGCACACAGTTCACAAAAAATAATATTTTAATCATTTTTATAGCCAAAGAAAGTATATTGAGTACTATGGTTTGCATTCATGACGCCTTTTCTTTTTGTTTCTGGTAAGCTATTATATTGAAAGCATAATTACATATATATATTTTTAATATCTACAATTTCTTGTTCAAGCAGGTAACACTTTTCTAATTTCATAGAACAATCATTTATAAACAAGTAACACATAACTAGGCCTTTCTCTGGGAGATATTGTTTGGAGAATACTTGTTTTATCAGAACATTAGTCATTTCAAATTGTATAAAGAATAGAACACTAGCCAAAACATTCTGGAATATTAAATATAACTACTATACTATAAATCTAAGAATATTCTTTTCTTTCTAATAAAAACAAAGTAAATCAATAATTATTATAAATAAATTAAAGATTGGAGAAGTGTATGAAAGTAAACAATACAAGAAGAAGTCTCTAAGATTGGATAAAATAAATTCAAATATAACAAAACCTTATAAAAACTGGCATATCCATATAATTGATCTTTTATTTATTGTTCTTTTAATCAGAAAGCAATAAGATATATTACAACAAAATGTAATTCTAAGTTGCTATTTTAGCGCATTTGAGAAAAACCTATATATAGAAACTGCAAACACATTTTACTATCCTGCTGTTCTTACTTTTTCCTATGTTTGAAAGTTGGTCTTGCCACCTATGAGTAAGCCAGCTTCATACACTTGTAAAAACTATCTGATTGCATTGTAAAACCTGGTCTCTTTACATAATTAATTACAGTTTTACACATAAGAAAACTGCACCTCTTTTCCAGTGCTTTAATCACAATTACTTAAAGCTGTTAATAAATATACTTGAGATAGTTACAAAAAAAATACTTTTAAGTATGTATATTTATACTATTCTTTACTTTAGCTTTACACAACACTGGAATAGGATTGCTTGAACATTCTTTCAATAGAAAAGCATCAGCAATTATAATTCATAAAGAAGAGTTCTATCATCTATAGCTGATATAGCTAAAGGTATGTATTACTCGTATAGCTAATATATGAGTTAGTATATGTACAAGATATATTGCTAGTAATATTATTAAGCTTGTATATAAATATACATTATTATATGCTATGTAACAAAGTATAGTATATTATATATTATATTGTATAGTACATTATATAATCTATAGTATGGTACATCATATAATACATTGTATAGTATATCATATAGTATATTTTACAGTCTATTATATATTTTTATTGTATATCCTACTGTGCAGCAAGTGTATGAATAAAAATAAAATTCATCAATTTTACCACTAATTTTTCTATATATAGATTTACTACCATAGTTTTACTACTAATATGTTTGAAACTAAGCCAATCAAACATGCTGTCTTACTATTCAATAAATTAGTGGCAATATCACTATGATTAGTGGCAAGCATAGCTCAGTTACCACCAATTTCCTCTGTTTTAATGTAGTGCGGCCAGCTATTAAATTTCATGCAAATTAGTAGTATTGCCATATTAATTTCATTTATAGTCACTGTATAGTAATATTAGCAAGATGAATTATGTAAATTGTGAAGGAGGAATGTTATTAGTTAGGGTAGCCATGATTTCGAAGAAGTATAATGTGGATAAATATATTAATAAAGGAAAAAGGAAAAAGTATTATATATAGAAGAAACAAGGAACAGAAACAAGATTTTCTTGTGCACGGAAAAATCTCCTCTTACCACTGAGAACACAGCATCACATCAACAAACTGTTGACGTCAGCCTCTTATAACTAGGACAACATATCACAACAAACTCCCAAACAAACTCACTAAGCACTGGCCTTCCAGTACTGGACACAGGACATATGTTACAATTGCATGTATATATTACATTAGGTATAACACCAATAACAGCTTCTATGGTCTAGTGGTATGACACTTGCTTTACACGCAATTGGTCTCCGGTTCGAACCCGGATGGAAGCATTTTATCTTTTTATATTAACAGCCATTATTTTTTTTCATTTCCAATCTGGATTGTGTCGTTCCCGATCTGGGTTGGTCTTCCTTTTACTATAACAAAGTCAAAAGGTCAAACCCACTGGGGATCAAGGAGTATACGTAAAATCAAAGAGAGGATCAAAGATACTTTTTATTGATATGAATTGAATTGTCTTATATAGTTTTCTAAACTAATACTGCGCATTATCCGCAGTAGTTATTATTTATATTTAATTAAAGAAATAGTCATTATACTGCGGTTAATGCTCAGGAAGATATTACTGTGCATAAAGAAGTACTGCGGTTAACTATCTTCAGATTTTACGGATTCATCAAAATAATGTCCGACAATTGGTCTGACAAAAGGAAGACCTGACATTTTTCAAGTCTTGACTAGGTGTATCTTTCTATTATTTTAACTTGTATAAGTTTCTACAATAGATCACCACCAACTAGGACGTTATGAATAGATAGAAATGTAAAGAATTGAATGCTTTTTTTATGATATAAATCTTGAAATATTTATATAGATTTCTTAAAAGTGAAACTATGTAATTTAATTCTTTTACTCAAAACATATTGGTTTTACATTTATAGAAGGCAATATAATACTGGTTTTATCCATTCAATTGGCGCCCATTTCCATCTAATTAGCATCTATTTCCATCTAATTAGAACTCATTGACATCTGATTGGCTTCCATAGAAATTGAATTTGCATCCATTGCTAACTGAATTTGCTCCCATTGCCATCTGAATTTGCTCCCCCCCTTTTACTATTGGCGGAAGGGTACATGGCACTCAAATTTTTTATCCTTATGCCTTACAATTTTTTTTATATAACCGTAGTATTTTTTTTTGTAAACGTCATACTTTTTTTTGTAAACGTCATACTTTTTTTTTGTAAACGTCGTATTTTTTTATATAACTGTAGAATTTTTTTTTGTAAACGTCGTATTTTTTTTATATAACCATAGTATTTTTTTTTGTAAACGTCGTATTTTTTTGGCATAAAACATGGATATTTTTATTAGGCATAATTAGTTGATAGAGAAATAGAACACATAATAAGAAGTAAGATATAATGAAATACAAAATAATAAAAAAGAAAAGCATAAAGCAGTAAAACAAATAAAAAAAAGAGGGACATAAAGTGGTAAAAAAAATAAGAAAAAGAGGGACATAAAGTGGTAAAAAAAAATAAGAAAAAGAGGGACATAAAGTAGTAAAAAATAAAAATAAAATAAAAAAGACATAAAGTGTAAAGAGCTTAAATAGACATAAAAGACATACTTAAAGCTTTCGCTCTCTGTTCAAACAGCAAGAAAAGAATGAAATGGCATGGTTAATCCAACCCAAACAGTCCGAAAGGGTGACAGTCTTAGCTGATTCTGTAATTCTTAAGATGAGCCCGTCTGACTCTGTAATCTCTTCTCTGCGGACACCAAACTTGATCTTGAACCACATATCCTCAATTGGATTCAGGAAAGGTGAATACACAGGAATATATGCACACTTGTACCCACGGGAAGAAATAAAGTCTTTCACCTCATTGGCCTTATGGATAGGAGCGTTATCCATGATAAGATAATGTCCTTGCATACCCTGGCTGTCCAGAACGTCCATTGTATGACTAAGAAAGTTGAGGTAGTGCTGGGTTCTGGTGCCAATTCGGCCATTCACCTCAACGTTGGTGTAGATGTTCAACTTTCTCTTCTTCTTGGTTGCGACTGCAGTGGGTTTCTTCAACGAGAGGCTGACAATCCCTCTCTCGCACATTGCACCAAGTATGGTGATGGACACACCTCTCTGCGTTGGGACAGTTGTCTTAGCCGGGGTGCCACTGACAGAACGGCCAAAAGTTCTCTTGATATGCATATTGAAGCCTGCTTCCTCAATAAACACACAGTTTGACAGATAGTTGAAATCTGCAAGTTGTTGCCACTTCAAAATGCGGTCTTGTCTCATCTCAATTGTGCTAACATCGTCTCTCTTCTCAGGCAGCTTCTCCAACTCCTTCATTGTCAGGGCACACTTCTTCACCAAGTGCTTCTGGATTGCTGATTTGGTAATCTGCAGCCCAGAGAACTCTTCCATGACAGCTATCTTGCTTGTTCCAAGGTAGCATCTGGTTTATTTTCGAAAAACTTCAAAAAAAGCAGAGTGCGCCTGGAACAACTTTTGGTTGCCATGTTTTCGTTCTTTAGGCGCAGAAACCTCCTCAACCTCCATCATCTTCAGCCCATTGGACTCATCAGTCTCCACTGTGACAGCATCAAAATCGGCCTGGATCTTCTCTCTGGTCAGTCTGATATAGTTCTGGGTAGTCTGGACATTGATGCCCGTTTCCCTGGCAGCAGCAGCAGCAGTCTGGTTTTCCGAGAAAACCAAGGAGAAGAGCTTGTTCACCTGGTTTTGGTTGTACTTTTGGTACGAACCTCAACCTATGCTTTCTGCAGTGGGAACAGAATCAGGGTCGACCTTCTCCAGCAGATTCGTCTTTGGCTTCTGTGCAACAATTGTCTTGGTTGTGGCCTCGTTGACTTCGGTTGGCAGGAAACTTTTGAGACTTAAGAGGTTCGTGACTGCTGGGTTTCCGACCGAGGTACGGGTCCATTTCATATTGGCATGGTTGACAAAGACATCTGTCACAGATCGGAGTACAACTTCTCCATGCATTTCGTTGACAATCTCTTGGTTGAAATCGCACAAGGGGTCGAAAGCAATTTCAGAAAACTGGGTTTGGTCTGCAGAACCGCTGTGACTGACCATTTCACAATGCTTGTCCATAAAAAATTTGAGGGAGTTGTTGGAAGTAGGCTTTTTTTTTGAAAATAAAAAGGGTGTTAAACTCGAAGAAGAAAGATAACTGAGAAACATTTATTAAGACACTGAGGTATATATACCAAAAAAAAATTTTAATAACTTAAACGTTTCTACCAAGGTATAGTCTTGTCCTGTTGTCTTAATATATTTGGATAAAGAACGTGTTGAAGAATAATGAATGTTTACATATTAAGCTTCTTCACACTTTTAAGAACATTTATTTTATTAGCCAATTTACAGTGCTACCAGAGCCTTTATGGTGTCCTGTCCTCTGTCTCGAAGGAAGGGGTGGGATTTCTCCTCATGGGTTTGCCCAACCAAAAAAAAATAAAAAAATAAAAATAAAAAATAAAAATAAAAAAAAATAGAAATATAAAAAAAAAAGAAAGTTTTTTTTTGTATAGAGCCAAGGAAAAGCTCGAAATTCAGTTATTAAGATTTTCAGTTTTTCAGCAATTTCTGCGGTTAGATACCATTTTATTTTCAGTTATTAAGATTTTTAGTTTTTCAGTTATTGAGACTTTCAGTTTTTCAGAAATTATTTGCGGAAAAATGGTTATGTATATTATAAAAATTTATGAATAAAAATGCTAGTTATACTATTTGGAGAATTATTTTTAAAATTGCTATTACATTTTTCTTTTTTTATTTCTCTTTTTTTTATTTCTTTTTTTTTATTTCTTTTTTTTATTTCTTTTTTTTATTTCTTTTTTTTATTTCTTTTTTTAAGGGGAAGCTTATGGGCAGCCTGGCGGGACAGCCTGAAAGGACAGCCTGAAAGTGTATTACGTCACCTAGTCACGTGTTTGGGCAAATGTCATATTGGCGGGACAGCCTGGACAGCCTGGGCAGCCTGGAAATATGTTACTAAACTTACTTTACGTATTTAGGCAAATGTTCATTTTTTTGGGCGGAGGAGGGAGGGGGGACTATATAAAGTATTCTTTAGTTTGCCAATAAAATCACTGCCCTTTTTTTACTACAACATCAGCGCATAATTTTTTTGACATTCTAAGATGAGCAGCATCAACAACACCAATGACCATGTCATTGTTAGTGAGACTTCTTCAAAGAAGTACAATGCTGCCCTGACCAAGTTCAACTCGATATTTCTTGTTGGAAGAGAATTCTCTTCAACTGTAGCTGTTCGTGAAGCCACCAAAGCATATGGTGCTAAGCATAATATTGCATTCACTACTTATTCTTCCTCAAGCACCCGTATAAGAATGATCTGTAAGCACTACGGGGAATATAGAGACACTAGAAAGACCGAAAAAATTGTTCCAGAAGTCTCTGTCAACCAAGAAACCCCTATTCCTGGGTGGGAGAGACAACGCATAAAGGATACCCAAAAGAGTGACTGTCCTTGTTTTGTGTATGCCTCAAAAAAGAAAGATGGAAAGATTGTAGTCTACTCCCGCGAGGCAAAACACAATCATCAGATTGTGGAAGACTGCAGAGCATATGCCATGCATCGAAAGCTTGAACCTGAAGCCATGGCTCTTGTTGTCCGACACCTTGAGGAAAATGATGATGTATCCACCATCTTCAATAACTTGAAGAGAAGTGGGTACACCAATGTTATCCGTCAAGATATCGAAAATATCAAACAACAATTCGGAAAGTCAGAAGAAGGAAGAGAAATGTTTAGTTTCATTACTGCATTGCAAGAATTGGACTTTTATGTCCGGTATAATGTTGGTGATGATAAGGAAAACAAAATCAACATGGTGTTTTTCATCCATAAGGATGCCATTGACGAAGCAAGAAGAATGCCAGAAACCATTGTAATAGACGCTACGTACAAGACAAATAGTCACCAAATGACATATGTCAACATTGTTGGTACCAGCAATGTAAGTGGAACCCCCCGTACGACTTTGAAGACTTTCCCAATTGCTGGAGCTTGGGTGGATCACGGAACGATAGACAACTATCTATGGGTACTTCGCTGTCTGCGCGATTCTGTCTGGCCAGATGTTAATGATAGCAGCAGAAGCAACAAAAACAACCACAGCAACACCTCTACTACCAAGTGTGTTTATCACTGACAATGAGAAAGCATTAAGGAATGCAATTACAAATGCTTTCCCTGAGTGTAAACAGCTGCTGTGCTATAAGCACATTAAGGATAATTTTAAGAAGCAGCTATTGTCAATGATGAAGGAAGACGAGAATGGGGACAGGAGAGGCTTCTTGGATGAGTTAGCCAGTCATCTTGACCAAATTGCGTTGAAGTGCACCACTTCCGAAGAAGAGAAAAAAGAGATTGATGCATATCTCAGGTTTGCAAAAGACAATTGTAAAGATCAAGGAAAAAGTGCCAAAGCTTTCCTTGAGAGGTATGCAAAGTGCTGTTATATTTGCTGGAAACAGTTTGTTAACAATAAATAATGACATTATTTTTTATATACGTTATCAGAAAAATGCATGACAAAGAGAACTGGGTAAACACCTATGTTTTTAAGCATCCTCACTTTGGAAATCGCACTTCCAACCGTGCAGAAAGTTCACATGCTTCTCTGAAGCATGCCCTTGGAACTTCTTCTGGTAAACTGAAGACAGTTACCATGAAAGTTGCCAAGTGGTATGAAGCGTTGATACGTCTATGCTTTGTTATCTTAAATATCAATTGATTAAACTTTATAATAACAATACCTAATTGAAATGTTTTTGTAAATTTTACAGGTCAATGATCGAAAGCGCAGATTGACAACGAAGTGTCTCGGAGAGAGCACTACCATTGTGTTTGATAAAATCAATTCTTCCAGGCTGAATGATATTCACTACAAAGTTTGTCGTTTTGCAACGGATCACATCAAACTTGAACTTGCCAAATCAATTATACCTGAAAAACTCACAAAAGAGTGCGAATGCCTCATTAACTACAACTATCTCTTGCCCTGCTACCATCAACTTGCGCAGTATAAAAAAATCCCAATTTCTTGCATTCCCAGACGATGGAGAATAAACTACTTAGAAGGAGAAGGTAATGTATATATATATACATATATGTTATTAAACTATTTTTTCTTTTTATATATAATTATGTACAGACCACCCAATTATTCACAATGCACTACCTGTACCTAAAAACATCACTAAAATCACTACAATAACACCCCAACTCGCATATAAGCTTGAATGGGTTACTCAAATACTTACCAACGCCCAAAGCAAACAACAGCAAATACATTTCGAAGAATATATTGACAAAATAATAGAACTAGACTCCAAGCAGAAACTTGAGAACCTTAATGGTCCAACAGTAGTGGAAGTCATCAAAGGCAGACCTAAAAATACAAAAAGAAAAATGATTGCCCTAGAGCACTGTCTTGAAGCAGAAAAAGAAGAAACAACAAAAAAAAACTAAAACTGAAAAAAAAACAAAAAAAGTAAGTCTTTATTATAACATATTGTTCAGATTTAACTCATTCGACTTTTTCGATTTTCTAGACATGAATTATCTTTAGAAAAACAACAAAAAGCATTAAAAAAAATTATTAACCTAGGTTCACCATGTGACCATACACTTCAGACTAATCTTACAATCGCCCCACACCAAATATCTCAGATATTCTCTCCAGAAGCAGATGGCAATTGTGGCTATAGAGCAATAGCAATGGAAGTATATCAGAACCAGGAGCGATGCCCTGAAGTCAAAGACAAAATGTTAGAAAACTATTTAAAATATCAACATACTCATTACTGAGGAAGAATGGAGCACGGCCATATGCCTGCATCCACAAACCCATTATTATCAGTCTATAAGACAAACGCTCACCCCTCCCTCAACAGCATTGGTTTGGTACAATTGACCATCCACAACTCGTAGCAAATGCATATAACAGAACCGTAGCCGTATATTGGAATACTCCAAGAGAAACCGGTGACTGTCTATTTGTACCATTCACCACCACACCAGACAGATTCAAACCTATTATACTTATTCTAGATATCAACTATTTTCTCCTCGCAAAACGTAAACCAACCAGAAACTTCAATTGACTGCAGATAAAGCCATTTCACAAAGCCATAGTAAAAAAACATAACCTAGAAGACTTTTCCATTCTGTATTAACTACCAAGGTATGGATTTCATAATGGAATTCTATTCAATAATATTAATATTTATCTTATTTTGTAGATCTTTTTATTTTCTTTTTCTTTTTTATTTTATTTCCTTGTTTTTATATTTATCTCTTTATCTCTTATCAAGTTTTATTATTATTATTCATATTATTATTTATTTATTTATTTATCTTTATTTTCAATGATTTTTTATTTTATTTTTTGAATCATTAAACATATATCAAAAATCTGACTGCCTCAAAAAAATGAACATTTGCCTAAATACGTGAAGTAAGTTTAGTAACATATTTCCAGGCTGCCCAGGCTGCCCAGACTGTCGAGACTGTCCAGGCTGTCCTGCCAATATGACATTTGCCTAAAAACGTGACTAGGTGACGTAATACACTTTCAGGCTGTCCTTCTAGGCTGTCCCGCCAGGCTGCCCATAAGCTTCCCCTTTTTTAATTTCTTTTTTTTTATTTCTTTTTTTTATTTTTTTTATTTTTTTTATTTTTTTTTATTTCTTTTTTTTATTTTTTTTTATTTTTTTTTATTTTTTCATCTCTTTTTTTATTTCTTTTTTTTGTCATGAGCTTGTGCTATTTTTTGTTACTGTTTTTGTGTGTGTAATATTTGTTTTTTTTTGGTATTTTGTATCATGAGGGTTTCCAAAATTGAGATTGGATAGTATTGTGGGCAAAGCATAATTCTTGGACCGCTTTCAGTTGTTTAACAGATTGTTGGACATTTACTTGTTTCGAATGTAGATTACAAAGAGTTGTTGAGTTTGATATTAAGATTAGGATTCTGACATTGTAAAATGGTTGGAGCAGGTGTTGAATAAATATAGCATTTTTGGATTCTTTTTTGTAATGGTATTAGATGCTTGTGTAGGACCAGGTTCATAAGAAATACAAATGCTGTGGTAGTCAATCAGATTACTGGATATTTGAGATAAAAATTGGCAAGTTTTTGTGTGGTCGGTAGAGTGAATTCTACTGTTGGATTTCAAAAAAGTATGGTCGGTGAAATGCACTTAAAAGCATTATGAATATGTGTAGACTGGTTCCTATTGTACAGGTAGATGTTTGATCTTGTAGTTTCTTTGTAGGTGGAGGGTTGAATCGTCACGTTTTCTTTTCAGATTTATAGCTTTTGCTCAAAATACTATAGATTATTTAGAGATTAATATCAATGACTCCGAGATATAGGCTTTATTTACATACAGAAACATAATGTGATCTGGAAATAATAAAAAAATCCATGAGGTATAGAGCTTTAAACAGTGTTTTTATTGTCAGAGTAATATTTAGTTGTTGAAGTGAGTATGAGAATGAGATTTATTGCTGATTTAAAAAGAGAAATAAACAGTTTTGGTATATAAACACCAAATGGAAAGAGAGAGAATTATGATATCTCTTTTAAAAAAGAATGTTTATAATAAATTTATGGCTGCGGGTAATATATTGTCCTATTTATTTTTTATCTTCTTGAGTTCAATTTGTACTACTTTATTTAGTGGACCTTGGAATATTATTTTTTGATATAAAAAGCTGAAAATATAATGACTAATACTATTTAACAACAACTCAATCTTCTTTACATCTATTCTTGCTGCTTCAACTTGTGTTCTGATTTTTATCTTGCATCTTAAGTAATTACTATTTAATTATAACTGCTATGTGCTAGATATAACTATATTTATATAAAATATGTCACTTTAACATATCTTCCTATTTCTTTATTTTTTCACCTTTTATTATCAGAAAACCCTACAATGTTACACGAGAAACTTGAAGAATATAACAGTGCCTTTGAAAAAAGCATGGAAGAGCTTGAAGAGCCTGAAATGCCAGAAGATCCAAAAAGTTCTGCCCCATCAACAACAGACGAAACCCCCAAAAAAAGTAGAGGGCAATATCAAAAGCCTATGGATAAAGATATAAAAAATCTTCTTTATCTCTACTTCATAAGGGGATTAACTATCGAAAAAGCCAGCAAGATAGTAAATATGAAACAAACAACTGCTGGTAGCTATATTTTGAAGTGGAGAAAGTCTCCAGTTGTTTTTTTCATTAAAAACAACAAGGAGGCTACAAGTGACAAAAAAATGAATCTTTTATTTGAAACTTACTCTGCAATAAAGAAAGAATACAAATAATATCATTGCATTTTCAATTTTAACATAATTATTATAATGAGATACTTGCTTTATTATCTTATAACTGCAGTAAGGTATTTAACTTCAACAAAGTAATCTGGAGAAAAGTTTGCATATTCTGTTAGTTCTCTCTATAGATATTTTCTATGACGTATCTTTGTAGAAAGATCTACATATATTCAAGTGCTATTACATTAGGCGTTTGACACTTATATAAAAAAATATGGCAGTTATATAAAAAAAATACAACGTTTACAAAAAAATACTACGGTTATATAAAAAAAATACGACGTTTACAAAAAAAAAATACTACAGTTATTGAAGTATTTTGGATTGATTATAATAAACTTGAGATTGAAGAGATATGAGATGATATGGAGACGATGAATAAAGTGAGACTTTTGTATGGTGGTTTATTGAGAAATTGTTGTATCTGTTGAAAGATACTGTTTCTAGCTTGATGTTTTCTATCTCTTTTATATCTTTTTCACTTAGAAAAATTTATCTTTTGTTCCTTGATATTTGTTCCTGTTGTTACTGTCTTTTAAGAAAATATTTTCATGTTATATTGTCCGCAATGGTTTAAGAAAGTGTATTGGCTCTTGGATAACAACTACTTGTTGTTGATGTTGTTTCAGATTACTACTTTGACTTGAGTCATGGATTTCTAAGTCAGTTAGTTTATATCCCAGATTCTGCAAATACAACAGTTATATAAAAAAATACGACATTTACAAAAAAAAATACTACAGTTATATAAAAAAATACGACATTTGCAAAAAAAAATTCTATGGTTATATAAAAAAATACAACGTTTACAAAAAAAAGTACGACGTTTACAAAAAAAAATACTACGGTTATATAAAAAAAATTGTAAGGCGTAAGGATAAAAAATTTGAGTGCCATGTACCCTTCCGCCAATAGTAAAAGGGGGGAGCAAATTCAGATGGCAATAGGATCAAATTCAGTTGGCAATGGATGCAAATTCAATTTCTATAAAAGCCAATCAGATGTCAATGAGTTCTAATTAGATGGAAACGGATGCTAATTAGATGGAAATGGGCGCCAATTAAATGGATAAAACCAGTATGTCTTGGCTGTTGTAAATGGGCATTAACTACTGCTGTAATTGAGAATAAGTCTGAAAAAAATAATATAAGACCTCAGCTATTTTAGTTAAAGGTGTCTACTAATCACTTTCTTATTTAATACATAGATTTATCATGCACAATAGTGATTATATTTCATATGAGACATTCACCCAGTTGTGATCGACTGATTTTTCCCCAATTTAGACAAAATTTTTATGCTAAAAATAGGTAACACATTTAAGTGTATTCCCAGCAAAAGACAGAAGATGCACCAATAATTGCTCCTTTTATAGACATTTAAATTGACAACGTCTTTTTAAGCTGATAAGACTTTGTCTACTTTTTTGCTTAAGTCTTAAAGCATTTAATTATTTATACCATCTGCATATTG